GTAATTCATCCAACTGGAATTAAATGCAAATTCGCTGATGTGTCCCGAAAGCGATCATCTGGTCTGTGGGCACCATGCTTGCCTGCAGCACTGTCCATGTCTGTAGACTCTCTGTGTGTCAGTCTTCTGCCCTGCTTCTGCCTCAGAAAATGATTACTATTTTCCTGAAACTTTTTATTGGCTGATTTTCATGGCTAGTTTCTTTCCTTTGGGGTCTTGAATGCTCCTTTCTCAAATTGGACCATCTTATCCAAAGTGTTGTTCTCCTTGTAATCGCATGGCAAAATAAGCTTATGTTTACTGTTGTGACAGGTCTGTTTGCTATGTGAAAATTTCATTTTCTTCTGCTGTTGAAAATAAAGTTTCATGAAAGCCAGAATGCTGTCATAGTCAGCCCGTGCCCACTCCATCTTCTACAAAGAGGCCCACACACCATGCTAGCACTCCGTATTTGTTTGGTGAGCCAGTGAAAGAGCAGCAAAGCAACAGCAACAACAGAAAACAAATGCAGAGTCATGATCCTCATTTCTGAAACCAGGATCTGGCACATTAGATGAATTCTCTTTTTAAGCAGATTTTACTAGACCTAAAAGAAAGTAGTGATGCAGAGTCGGTACGTGTACACTGCAGAAAAAAACAAAGTGTTATAAAATATATATGGACAAAGGGGAGAAAAGTAAGTCAACTTTGCCATTGTTCAGATGAACCATATCTGATGAATGCTACTGAAACCTGTCACGTACTAGTTATGTTATGAGGTAGGAAACACTCAGTATGCTTATGCATAACCCAGCTTAGTAAGAGTCAGGGTAACTGTTGTGATAGGTAGGAATTTTCCAACTTTAACAGAAAGTTAATAAGGATCAGCATAGCTCTGTTGTGCAAATTTTATAAATGGTTTATTGTGATAGTAGTTAGAAAAAAAGTCACAGGCAAGTGCTCATAGCCGTCAGGTTAAGAATAGTCTGAAGTATGATGAAAACAATGAAAATACGTCCCTTGCTGAACTGAAGTTTGCACCCTGTCAACAACAGAGACATTGGATTCTAAGAGTCAGAGCAAATACAAAGGCAAGGAATTATAATGAAAGGTTTAATATCAAGTTATCTAGCAATAAGAATCAAGTTTTCAGAGAAACAAATTCCAGTACTTGTTAATGGCCACTTGTGGGGCGGTTTTACGATTTATAGTGTGTAGATTATGTTACAGAGATGACAGTTAGGGCAGAGTGTGGCCTTGATTGGTTGTCAATAAGCAGACAAAATGTACCCAAACACCCTTAAAGAAAAGTGATTGTCATAGGTTTTGGAGTGTAGCAAGGGAGCCCTCTTGTGGCGGCATGACATTCCTCTCAAGTAAAACCTGGGCAGATTTTTTTTTTTTCCTTTTTATATCTTAGTTATACCCAGAACACATGAATTGTAAGTTAATTAACCATATTCACCAATTTGATGAGATCCTGATTGTTTGTAGCACTAGATGATTTTCTTTTCTCTCTTTTGAGCAGCCGTTTATTGATATATAAGACACAGGAAATCAAGTCGTGATTGTTAGTTCAATGAATTCCTGTGAATTGGATGTAACTATAATCCACATGAAGGGTAAGAATGCTGCTGATATTTGGAATATCTTCTCACTTCTACTTGTAGTCACTGTCTCACCAGGACAGCTACTGGTTCTGTAATTAAACCCAGAGGCAGCTTTGAGTGTGCGTGGACTGTTACAAAATACATGTCACATGCATTTTGTAACATTCTGTAATAATAACATGTCACATGTATTTTGTAAAATTCTGGCTTATTTTACTAAACATGTTTGTGAGGTTCATTTGTACACATTTCCTGTAGTTCATTTATTCTTACAGCTAGACAGTATTCCATTTTGTGGGCACAAAAATGTTTGTTTTCTGGTTAATGGGTAATTAGCTTGTTTTTCAGTTTGGAGTTCTTCCAGGCTTTTCCACAGGAGCACTGTGTGTCCTTCTCTTCCCTCCCATTTCCCTTCTACCCTACCAACATCTCCCAGTTATAAACATCTTTCCCTTACTTACTAGTGTTGGTTTTTAGTGTCCCTCAGCATTTAACCACGGCATTCTGATTGATCCTGAGTTCAGAACTAACCCCTCGAGCCTGGTGGACTCACAGTAGATACAGCACTGTATGCCATAGGATATCTCTCCAGAATCTCTTGGTTGCCAATAGATCAGAAATGTGTGATATGGCCACAGGAGTCTCCTTCTCCCTCTTAGATGACTGCTGGGAGATGACTGCTGAATTCTGTATATCTTGTCCTAGTATGCATAGCTGTTGGAGGTTCTTGGCTTCTGTGGACATTTGTTCATGTCCTGTGATAAACATGCAGATTGATTTGCATGAAAAGGACTAGAATGTCTGGCTCATTATGTGAACATATATTCAGCTTACATTGACATCGCCTGCCTGTTTAAAATAATCACATAAATTTATACTTCAACAATAGTGTGTAGGGAGACACTATAGCCCTGCCTCCTAGTAGCTGCTACAGGTGTGCCCATGAGGGCATGGTCAGGGGAGGTGGAGGATGACTGGGGGGTGGATTCTTAAGGGGCCGAGGACACTTGGTGACCCCTTCTCTCCGGCCACGCTAGCTTGCTGCCTCTGGGTTCGCTCTGGCTTGCGTTTGGCTGGTGTTTATCTAAATAAAGAAATCTTAGCCTTACGGATCGTCTTTTCGCACACTATAATAGTGACTTGCTATATTCTACCCAAAACTTGGTTGGGCTTTCTGACATTTAAATCACCATTATTGTTAATCCTTTTCATTTAGCGTACAAAGTCATGAGTTTCTTGCTGGCATTTTCATGCATATGTACCATAATGCTTCATTCGTACTCACCTGCCAGTAGTTTTTTCTGGGACGTGTTATACATGCATGCATGCATCATTCTGCTTCGTTTGTACTCACCTGCCAATGTTCCTCCACTGCACCCCTCCTCTCAACTATGATAATTAGCATAGGCTCTAGTAGAATCCTCATATGAATATTCATATTTTTGCATATGATAAACTATGACATGAGCTATGCCCAGCAATAACACTTGTAAATATCCATAATTTTTTTGGAGCAAACACCTACATGGAAATTTTCTAATGGTTATTTTCAACAATTTTAGTCTTAGAAAATTATCATAAGTGTTGCAATTTATTCTTACCACATTCTAGACATTTTAGAGTTCCTTTTACTATTTGGTCAAATTCTTTTATAAATAAAAGCCATAGCAAAACTGGGATGGTATGATTTTTCATGGAACATTTTTCTTTAGAAAAATCAACCATGTCAAAAGACCATGTCAAAAGAGTTATGTGAAGGCACTATGCAGTCTTGGGGGTCGGGGGTCTGTCTTCTCAATCATATGTTCCCTCAAGCTAAGTGTTTCAGGCTTGACAAGGAGAGGTGGAGGCAAACCACAAACGGGAAAGAAGAAATGCAAAGAAAAGCTGTAGAGGAGGTAAAAACATGCATGCAAAAGAGAGAGCATGAGATGAGGGCTCAAAGAATAGAAGTCAATGCAGCCCTTGTGCACAACTGCAAGCGTGTCTCAGAAAGTGTGGAGAAGAGAGAAAGAAGAAAGAGAGGGTTATACTCAGCCTACCATAGCGGTAAGTGTGGTTTCAGCGCCTTTGGCTTGGCTACAGGAATAGGAAATACCACTTTCAGAGGACTCTCTACTTAGCTGCATGATTTCTTTTCAGGCCACAAGACTTGGGCCCGTCTAGTCTTTAAGGTCTGGACTCTGAGACGGAGATTCTACTTCAGATGCCCTCACTCTCTTCAGTGAATTGTTATACCGATTGATGACATATTTGTGTCTTACTGTATGTTTGAATTTCTTTGAATGACAATAAACTCAACAGTCACACAAATTTTGTTGGCCTTAATTCACTGAGTACTCCTGATTTGATTTGGCTATCACAGATTCTTCTATTGATTCCAACCTTAATTACTAACAGATCACACACCATACATACTGCACACAGTGACATACAGAGTACAGGTTGGCAAAGGAAGGCTTAAAGACAGAGGTCTCAAAAGTCTTTCTAGAGAGTCAATACAGATGCAAAGAGTCATGGCGGGTGCTGGATAAGATATTTATATAAGGAATAACGTCGAGGAAGGGTCAGGGCAATGAGCTGCCTAAGCAGAGCTGGTGCAAAGTGTGGAGCTGGCTCAGTTGCAATTGGGCCAGATGAATGGTTGTTTCATGTAGGTCTAATCATGTAGACAGGTCATACTGAGCTCAGGGCTTTGTGGTTTGTCAGTCCCATGATGCACTTTGAGAAATGGCCTAAGGCCATTCAGGTACCTCCAGATCCCAGTGTTGTTGGACAGCCCACACAATGCAGATGGAGTGGTTGCATCATGGGTTGTCTGTTGTGTTTGCTAAGCTCACAGACATGCTTTCTCTGATACTGTTTTTATATGTTCATGTTCATAACTGGTTACGTTCTTATTTGTGTAAGTGTCCTGGATAGTTTAACGTGGGTAACTGCCCGAATAATCGACAGTTTCTCTGAGCATTCTGCATCCCTCTCAACACCACTACTTTTATCCAGTTTAACTTCTCTTTCCTGGGTCTAGAGCTGCTGTGTGAATGTGTGTGAATAGAAAAATGAGCTCTGTGGTGCTACACAGAGTCAGGGAAAGCATAATCATCATGCAATGCTCCAATAAAGGGGATCTAGGTTCTGAGCAGCACCAGCTGTCCCACCTAACAGAGCTACTAACAGGTATGGGGATGTTCTAGGAAGATTTGTGAAAGCATTAGGGCCAAAGGCATAGGCAATCTTGCAGAAAGGGATTTTTTTTTTACTTTAAGTTTTTCATGAGTCATCACCATTTCATGCATGTCTGCATGTAGACAGACTCAAGGATAGTCTCTTTTGCCTGGCTTTCTTTTTCTCATCTTCTTTCTTCCTAGTGAGGAAAATGAAAGCTAAGAGCAATTGGGTGCAGCCAAACAAGCTCTTCCTGCTTTGAGTTTCAGTTTTGTTTAATTGCTTGTGATTCTGGAACCTAAGAAAGCCAATCAACTTTCTGTCTTCTGTCTGCTCCACAGCTCAGAAAAACGTCTACTCTATTTGCCCTTTGTTTCAGTCTGCTCCAGGCTCAGCAGTGGGTAAGCACCTCCTGGTCACCTCACTCTCCACTTGCTTGGTTCTCTTTGCTCTTTGGGTGAAGTTGGCAGGCTGACCACACTGTTCTCATCCAGTTCTGGGCTTACTTTAATGAAAGTTTCACAGATTGCTATGTTTAGGGAGAGTGAACTCTGGAAAAAAAATCTCCAAATAGTTTTATCCCATTTCATCTATGATTTACTTCATTCAATCAGAATGCTTTGGAAGAAAAGTAGAAGCAATCTGTGACTCTATGACTCAGTCCTCTGTTCCCTTCTTTACTTCTTTCATGGAGGGAGACATAATCCAGACATTATTACCATGCTTATTTTTGTGCATCTACTATGTGTATAATGCATGAATGGAATCTTTGGTTTTGCTTTGTGCTAACATTTTATATAAGTGACACCAGACTTAATTTCTTGTGCTTAGTTTGCTTTTTAAACTAATAGAAAATTATTTGCCCTTTACCCATGTTTGTTAAAATAGAGCTAGCTCATCCACTGGCATCAGCTGCTGTCGATCCTTATTGTGGAGGTGTGCCAGATGTGTATATCTAATCTACACATGTCTTCCTCAACAACGCGGGCCTGAATATACTTTCCGCTGAACTCTATGTGGCCATCAGGACACTGTCAACACTTTTGTTTAGAATGTTTGTCTTATGTGTGTGTGTGTGTCTAATTGTTCATATGTGTATCCACACATGCAGTGCCTGTAGAAAACAGAAGAGAACCTCAGGCCCCTTCATATGGAGTTTCAGGTGGTAGGCAAGTGCCATGAATGGAACCGTGGTCCTCTAGAAAAGTTCTTTGAGTTGGTTAGTCATCTCTCCAGCCTCCAACACCCGCATTTTTGAGTCTCTGTATCTGGGCCAACTGCTGGCACCACTGGATATTTCTTCTGATGTGAAATGGAGTCAGCACAGAGTTGTATTACAAAATGTTACCTCATTTTCTGTGCATGTTACTCTTTTGGGTCATCACATCTTTGACTTTGCTCTTCACATTCTGGGCTATTTTTCTTCTGTGTGCTTCATTGCTTCCTCATTCCTTTGTAGAATATGCATCATAATTCACCAACTAGTTTTTTATTGTGTCTTGTTATAAGGCAATTATTCATTTCAAAGTCAATTTTATCTTTCCTTTATAGCTTGTATCTGTAGTGTCTTATTTCAAATATCTAGTAATTAAGTTGCCATGCAATGACCCACACCAGAAACCCTTCTTATCTGAATGCAACATGACTGAAGCTATTGGAAGATAAAACAAATTCTGCATACCCTCAGTCTGTTAATTCCTTCTCTAGTACTCTTCAGAATGCCAACCTGTCATCTCTGGATAAAGCTGCAAAGTCTTTTGTTGTTGTTGTTGTAGTCCAAAATAAAATTTCTGTTTTAGTTCTGTTAGTCTAGCTGGAGATTTTACTTAACTTTTCAGCATTTCAGGTCACTGGTGTGTGTGTGTGTGTGTGTGTGTGTGTGTGTGTGTGTGTGTGTGTGTGTACATAGGTGCACATGTACCACAGCATTTGTAGAGTTCAGTGGCCAACCTGTTGTATCTGTACTTGTCGTCCGTTTTGTTTGAAGACAGGTCTCTTGTGCATTGTTGCATGTAGCGTGTTACCTGGCTTACATGCTTCTACCTGGTCCACATGCTCCTACCTGGTACACCTGGTCTACCTGGTCCATATGGTCTACCTGGCCCATATGGTCTACCTGGCCCATATGGTCTACCTGGCTTGCATGCTTCTACCTCACTCAGATCTTCAGGGCATTCTCCTATTTTAGATCCCTTTTTACGATGGGAATGCCAGTTTTATAGATGAGCACTCTTGTGTCTGGCGTTACAAGAGTTTTGCAAATTTGAATACTGGCCCTTGTATTTACATGACAAACACTTTTCTCACAGAGCCATTTCTTATCCTCTAAGGTACCTCTCTGAAGCTGACATGCACAGCTCAGAGAAGTGTAATTCTAAATGTCAAGTTTGTTGTTCTGTGCTAATTCTTCTAAATCTTAGCCAGTAATATAATTATTTACCAGACTTCCTATTAATTAGACTGATTGTCTAATGATTTTTAATACATTAAAAACAGTTTGTACCATTTTTAAAAATCCTAGTAACTAGTGTAATGGCTGCGTGGTTAGCTGTCACTGTGGGACTTATACACCTATTGATACCTTTCTTATTTTTATTATTTCCGTGTGAACTATTTTTGAATATATTTTCATTCTGTCCTTTAATTCATGGTTTGCCAAATTATAGTTCATGTGTGGTAAAAAATGTTTTGTCCACATGCAGTCATGTTTATTTGTTTAGATATAGAATTAGTATGTTTTGTTCCTGTAATAAAATATCTGGAACAAGGTAACTTTATAAAGGAAACAGGTTGATTTAGCTCATAGTTCTAGATATCTAAAGCTGTGTTGCCCAGATATTGTACAAGTCTTCTTGGTTGGACTACCTCAAAGAAGATTGTATCATAGTGGTATCATATATGTGCAGAAGATATCAGAATCATAGACAATGTTAAGCTTTTATGGTAACTTAATCATGAAAAAGGACTGGGGTTCTCTGAGAAATACCTTCGTTTCTTGCAAAGGCATGTTCTAAATTGAACTATGTATTTCTTTCTTTATTGTTCTATCAGTCAATACCACAGTGAGGGCAAAGCTCCCAACACATGAGTCTTGGGGTGAATTATTTACTATTTGTATAATTAAGTTATTTATTGATTACTAATTTTGTTTTATTTTTCTCTAGTCTGGAATTTACTCTGTCAACCAGTATTAAATTTTATTTATTTATTTACAGAAAAGTCTCCTATGTAGTTCTGACTGGACTGGACCTCACTATGTATGTAGCCTAGGCTGGCCTTATACTCACAGAAATGTACTTACCTTTGTCTCCAGTGTGCAGGAATTAAATGAGTGTGCCATTATTCCCAGCCCAGATTTTAATTTTAATGCTACTTATCACTTCTAAAGTATCTACTTTTCATGTGTAGTTGCTGTTTCTACATCTCTACATTGTATTTTTTGGCTTCAAAATATTAATGTCTTCCAATTGCATCAGAGGACAATAGAACTTGCTGGAACTAAACAGAAACTTGTAACTTAAACTTCTATATTATGGTAATCACTCAACTTCCATTTGTTTTTTTATCAGTTGCAGGAATATGGAAGTGACAACCAGATTGACATGGATACAGGAAAGGGTTCTGGGAAAACTACTTGGGAATACATCATTGACTCTTCTTTATAAGTCTGGAGCTCATGAATTACATGCTCTTGATATGATCCAGAGATGTTCTCATCAGGGTTCCACAATGACAGTCTTTCACTTGAAGCAAGACGTTGTGGGTATTTTTATGCTGGAACACTTTCCCGTTTTGCATTCTAAAAAGCCAAGTACTTGTGTTCTGTTTGCATTTAAAGAGAATACCAGCACTGGAACATCAGCTCTGTTTTTGAACGCACAGGTAGAAATCAATACTACAGAGCTGAAATTTTTCTCATCTGATGATATGTGGATCACTGTGAATCCAAAGAAAAACAAACTTCATCTAAGTGGCGAAGTCATAAAAGAACTAGAACTTAATCTTAAGTGTTTCTCTGAATATTTGGAATGTGAAATTTTTCGAGTTGATGGTATGTACAAAAGGATAATCTGCCTCTACATTTGGTTCTAGTCTTTGCAGTTCATGAATTATCATTGGTGTGCACGCACAAGGGAAATTATGAATAAACATTAGTTTATTATGCAGGACTAAGGATTATAGACTGCTGTGAGCAAAGAAATTTAAGATGGATATGCATAAAGATAGGGATGGCCTCGTGCCTGCCTCTCTGATGCACCTGCCAACACATTGTAAACTTGCCTTGATTTATGACTATATTTGTTCTATAAAACTATAAAAATGTTGGAACATGGAATTTGGGATAACATTCATCTGTGTTCCCAGGTCATAGTCAATAAAATGACTCAAGAATAAATTTATTCCCTTAAAAGACAGAGATGGAGATGTAGGGATGGGAGCGAGGAAGGGTGGGAGAGAAGAAAGGGGAGGCAGCAGAGAGAAACTTTGACTTGCAAAAAGATACATTTTTCTCTTCTTCTTCTCAGGGTGCTGCCACCTTGAACTCTTAGTTGGGAAGGCCAGGGCTACACAAACAGACCAGCCCTGTTTAGGAGGGAGACTTGACCACGGAGGACCAAACAAATCAGGGAGCTTACTACACTGTGCTTATTTTCTGTAGGTGTTAAGAATGATCCAGGCTTCATAAAGAAGATGCTGACCGCCAAACAGTAAGTTAGCTTCTTGACCTTCTTGTTACTCATTTTATTTTGATCAATTATGGTAAAAGTGCTGACAATGAACCAATAACAGAGATTAAAAATCGTATTGCTTGGAATTATAAAAAGTTGTCACTGACAGACAATATTCCAGTTAATGTCAAAACCAAATCTCTCTTTTCCATTTTATAGATATAAATATATTTTTATTTCTCCTTAATATATTTTATTGCCGATAATCACTTACTTTAAGTGTTGATTCTTTCAAAGATTTGTGTTATAAGGTTAACAATGGCTTGTTACAGGTTAAGATTTCATGCTTAGTTAATGGTGTTGCACACCTTTAGTCATAGCACATGAGAAGCAGAGGCAGGCAGATCTCTGTGAATTTGAAGCCAGCTTGGTCTACAGAGCAAGTTCTATGACAGCTGGGGCTACACAGAGTAACCCTGCCTTGAAAAACAAAAAAGAAAAAAGAAAAAGGAACCTTTCTCTCCAATATATATAATTGTGGTTTATCTAAGTGCAAAATATTTAACTCAGGATGTTTATGTTTAGGGTGCTATATGTAATATATGATAGAGCTACTATCGAAATAAGTGTGTAGCTAAACCCATCCCCAAATGGGGAGAAACCGAAGCTCTAGGCTAACTACATTGCTTTGAGGAAGATCTGCTGTTGCATTTAATCCCTGAATTCTTTATAGGCACCGAAGAAGATTCTTATCTGCTCTCCGAGCCTACAGGCCCAGTGGAGACTTGGTTTCGGAAGTCCGTATTCTCCTGGTGGGCCCCGTGGGTTCTGGGAAGTCCAGCTTTTTCAACTCAGTGAAGTCTGCTTTCTACGGCCACTTCACTCGCCAGGCAGTCATGGGGTCTGATGAAACCAGCATTACTAAACAGGTGAGTTACCTGAGGATTGGTGGAAGATTGTGATTTATAGGTCATAGTGAATGCATTTGCTCATTTCTAATTTTTTCTCAGGCATAACCTTCTTCCTAATCTACAATTAAATGCTAAATAATTAAGTAAAATAGAAGTAAACACTGCATCAGAGTTATCTCTATTCAATAATACTATCCAGAGAAGCATTTGGTTTTCCAGATCTGATAATTAGTTATAGAAAATATCTTATGGTACTTTTTGCAAATACATTATAAGACTATAACATCGGTTTATCTGTGGTTCTACATTTAATAACTCAAAATGTTTCTAATACTTACATGAATTGCATCTTGTTTCTTATGTGGATTTATTGTATCATGTCAGCTTAGTTTGAGAAGTCAAGATGCTACAACGTGAATTCATTAAGCATTAACTGAAATACTTCAGCGTCCAAATTGTTGTGACATCACAGATAGATTCTGTACTTTCTAGTAGACTGCAGCATGAGACCATCTCCTGTACCACATATGGAAGAACTATGAAGACATAGAAGTTTTGAATACTGAAGAAATTGATGTTTTTCAGGCTTGATGTGGTGGTACATGCCTATAATCTCAGCCCTTGTGGGGCTGAGGTAGGGGGGAATCAGGCCAGTTCCAGGCCACTATTTTAAAATATTAACTGATTTCTCTTTTCTCTTGAATGCTAGCCAATATAGTCTAACTCAACAATTTTTTAACAGTACAGAACATATTCTGTTAAAAATGGAGAAGGAGGGAAAACACTTCCATTTATCTTGTGCGATTCAATGGGACTGGATGAGAGGGAAGAAGCAGGACTATGCCTAGATGACATACTTCATATATTAAAAGGCTTTGTACCAGACAGGTATCAGGTAAGATTTCTTCTACCCCAAGACACTTAAAATCATTTCATTGCATCTCTATCCTACAAGCACACGTGAACTGCCCTTATGTGATTCCAACATTAGCACTACTCTACTTTCAATAAATCAGTATTTATGAGAAAAAGCTAAAGAGGTGTCCCTTACAGTCTGTGCCATCGAGACATAAAACAAAACAGCAGGACTTGACTTCTCTGAATTCCAGGACACACTCATAGGACTGTTCTGCTTACAGGATTCTTTCAATGGTGTCAACTGTGAATGAAGAAGTCATTTAAGTAGCGAAACCAGTGCTAGTTTAACTTTGTGCATGTTTAATTATACAAACTAGACAGTAGAATCAGTATCTGTTGTCTACTGATGTATTCCACAAGAGCCAGGCAGTGCTGTTCTGTGCTTGGATCCTTATTTGATGTGTAGCCATGAAGGAAGTTACACAATGCTCTTTTTAAGCCTTAAATTTTAAGTATGTGAAATGTAAGAATTAATACTGCTTGTCTCCTAGAGCATCTGAGAATATAAGGTGAGTGATCTTAAGTTCTCGAAGAGTTACCCATTTGCCCACTTTCTTTCAGGTATCTAATATAATGGCATCAGTTTCAATTTCTAAACATTTGTCTTTTTCCCCTCTCATTGGAACCTGATTGAAAAGATTGACAAAGTGTTATTTTTCACTTGAAATTATTTATTAGAAACATAATTTGTTCTAGATATAAAGAGAGCAACAGAAAAAAATCCACAGTTAGTTAAGAGTTCAGGTATTATTTTTAAGATACTTATAATCTAGTTACATAATTACAGGGAGGAAGAGAGCAGAAAGACAGGAAAGTCAAATCACTAAGATCCCCAGTTTAGTAGCAGAGAACCAGCATTTCAGTTCAACATTGAACACAAATACTCATACCCCCCCACACACACACAGAGAGAGAGAGAGAGAGAGAGAGAGAGAGAGAGAGAGAGAGAGAGAGAAAGAGAGAGAGAGCAGAAGGAGTACACACTTATAAATGTTTGCCATGTTTTACAATCTACTTTCTCAATAACAGAAAGATTATTGTCATGTTTGTGGTAAGAAGAAGCTAACTTGGAAGTTGATATTTCTTTAGTTTCACTTCATCTTACTTGGTCTTGAAAAAAATTAAGAAGAAATCATAGCCTTTAAGTTTAAATATCATCTCATTCTCTTTTCTCTGCCTGCCTCTTCCCATGCATTAGACCTTTTAAGCTTGCAAAATTCTCAAAGAGGGTCTTAAATGATTCATAGCAAATCTTAGTGATATATGCTTCTGGAGATTGGATATTTAAGCCATGTTTTTAAAAGTATTCTTTGCATTTCTCTTCAATAATTACTTTGGTTAATCATCATTTTTATCAAAACAAAAAAGCCATTTGTCTTTAAGAACACTATAGTAAGATCTTGGCAATGAGAACAGGCAGGAGGGAAGTCACAAATGAAAAACCAGGGGAAGACGCTGGGGAAAGAAGAGTGAGTGGTTGTGGTTTCTGCTGTGGAAACTAAGCAAAGTCTCTGAAAAGTGAATCTCAACATGTGTTTCTATCCAGTTCGACCCATGTAAGCCAATTAAGCCCAGGCACTTGGCCTACAACACATCTCCACCACTGAAGGACAGGATCCACTGTGTGGCTTATGTCTTAAACATCAACTCTGTTAACTCACTGTCTGATAAAATGGTGGCAAAGCTCAAAAGAATTCAGAGAGATGTAACAGACTGTGGTAAGTCTCATTGTATAAACTTTGAAATAACTACATTTTCACAGAAAGTTACAAAGGAGGTAGTGAGGAGTCTCATGTTTTGCTCTCTTTGGTAAGTGCCCCGAGTGTCTGTTAGCCTTCAGAACTGAAGGACTATGATGTCTATAGTCTTCTGTTGTATAACCCTCTTGTGGTCTTTAGATGGACTCACCTCCTCACAGGAACTAGCTAGCAGTATCAAAGTCAGGCTGCCGACATTGTTACACTGTTTTGTCATGTGTAGAAACTCATGAAATTATATCTACAACTGAGGACACAGAATTACCCTCTATTATCATCACTACAAAGACAATACACTGACCCTTGTAGCTTAACTGCTTGTAGCTACTTCTCTATGGTAATAAGTCTTCATTTGAGAATATTATGTAAATAGAATCATTCATTATGCCATCTTTTGAGAATGACTGTTTTAACTTGGCCTGGCACCCTTTTAAGTCCCTGTCACACGCTTTATGTAGTGATTGCCTCAATGGCTGTTGAGTAATATTCTTTGGTATAGTTATATCAGGATGTGTTTAACCATTGCCTAGTTTTAGGTATTATAAATAAAATGCTACCAAACATAGGTGTTTTCATTTTGTGGGGGAATAGTTCCCCAGGAATAAGACAACTGTATTATATAAAAAGTATTATTTTTAAAAAATCACAAAACTGCATTCAGATAATTGATACTGTGCTACATTCCAGCTAGCACTACACAGCCGATCCAAGTTTTCTGCATCCTTTCTAATATTTGCTATTATTGCTGTCACTATTGAAAATTAACTTCTGTAATAGATATGTACAAATACGTCATTATGGCCTTAACTTGCTTTACCTAATGATCCATAGCATTAAATATCTTGTCACATAATCTCTGGTCTCCCATATATCTCCAGTAAAATGCTTTCTTTCATATCTTTAACCATTTTTTTCTGATTAATTTATATGTATGTTTTCTTTTATGTTGAATCTTAAGAGACCCCTTGTCTTAGTCAGTGTTCAGTTGCTGTGAAGAGACATCATGACCATGGCAACTCTTACAAAGGAAAACATTTAACTGGGGCTGGCTTCGGAGGTTTGGGCCACTGTTGTCATGGTGGACAGCATGGCAGCAGACGGGTAGACATGGTGCTAGAGAAGTATCTGAGACTTCTACATCTCAGGCAGCAGGAAGAGAGAGACTCTGGGCTGGACTTGGACTCTTGAAACCTCAAAGCCCACCCCTAGAGCCATCTGTCCTCCAAGATGGCCACACCTCCTAATCCTTCCAAACAGTGTCACTCCTTAGGGACTCTGAGCATTCATATATACCAGCCTACATGGCCACTTTTATTTAAATAACCATATCCCTAAATCTGAGTCACTGTCAGATACATGGTTTGCTGATAGTTCCTCCATGTCAGTGTTTATATTTTTGTTTTGTTTTTCATTATCATTAAATTTGGTTCGGCCATCTCTCTTTCCTCCAGCAACTCTTTCAGCATGACTACTAGGTCTTTTACCATACACTGAATATATATATATATATATATATATATATATATATATTATATATTATATATAATATCTAATGGACATTATATGCACTTAATGTAACTGTATATGGAAATGTGTTTAAAACACTGGTGGGTTTGGGAAATAACTGAGTTAGAGAAGTGCTAAGATCTGAAGTTAGTTTTTAAGGATATATGGCATTACACCACCATGGTATGAAGTGATGTTTAATGAAACCAACTCTAAGAAGATCCCTTCTCATGGAAAAAAAATTGGTTGTCCATTTCCAAAGGTTCACAACTGAAAACATACATGCAGGTAGACTTATATGGACTGAACAGTTGATATTTAGGAATATATGTGTATATACATATATGCATGCAATACCAGTAAAAAATTAAAATGAAGCTATGGATTTGAAGGAGAGCAAGAGGGTTACATGGAAGGGCTTCCAGTGAGGAAAGGGAAGAGAGAATGTTGTAATCAAATCACAATGTCCAAGAGAGAGGGAAGAGGAAGAGGGTGGAGTGCGAATTTTGAAGATTGCATATCTGCATGCTTGAGGGAGAAGATAGCAAGATCCCAGATGAACTCTGAGGTCAGTGTAGCTCGGTGGCGTACACTCTTCCTCACTTTGCCTCTTCTGGCATTTATCTTTAGTTCAATCGTGCAGTAAGCCATGTTTCTCACTTTAAAGCATACCAAGTTTTTAAACTTACTGTGAATTTAGGTATGTCTCAAAGTAAGCTCTTCTTTTGGGAGGAAATCACCTTTGGAAGAAGATCAGGCTAAGTTTTACTGGGGATATTTCACATCCAACTCTCCAAATAAATCATCTTACAGAAATCAGTGTTCAAACATACGTTTAAAAACTATCTTGACATATTCTATCATAACGGTGTCTGTTTGATACAGGTATAGGACAAGTAGTCTTGCTTACTAATGTGGATAACTGTGATGAAGTTCTTGACGACAATTTTACAAACATGACAGAAAGTACGACTTCTCAAAGCCAGGTAAAGAGTGATATTTAGAATCAGGTGATATAGGAACAGAATCACAGCCACATGCTCTCTCTCTCTCTCTCTCTCTCTCTCTCTCTCTCTCTCTCTCTCTCACACACACACACACACACACACACACACACAAGACTGTGTGTATATGCATGCAAATGTGTGTGTCCATAAGAGTGTGTGAGCATGTGCATGTGTGTGTTTATTCATAGGTGAATTGAGAATTATATCAAGGTGGGTTTGCTTCTGCAGGCCTGTAATGTCAGACGCTCAGGAAGGTGATGTAAGAAGATTGCAAGTTTAAGGCCTGTTTGGACTACAGAGTGAAGTCAAGTCCTTGTCTCTAACTAAAAAGTAAAGAGGGGCTGTAGATATTGCTCAATGAGAGAGCACTTTCTGAGAAAATGTGAGGCATTGGCTTCAGTCCCTGTTGGTACAAATAACTGGATTGGTTTCTCAGTTTGCTGCGGTTTATGTTTCATTTTCGAGCTATCATTATCCATAATTTACATAAGTATAATTGTATTCTAAAGAGGATTTAGCAAGCCATTACCTTTTCAGTTTCTGTCCTTAATTGTACTTAATATTAAGTCAAATTTCTAGTATGATCTACTTACATATTTTTACATAAAATGCATTTTAAATATATTTTCCACAGGTAAAGAAAGTCCAAAACATGCTCACTATTCCTGTATCTAATATCCTGATGGTCAGTAATTACACTTCAGAGCAATCAATGCACCCTATAAGGGATATTCTGATCTTTGCTGCACTCAGGCAGATGTTGCGGGCTGCAGATGACTCCTTAGAAGACCTTCCTCTTGAGAACAGGTAATGTGGCTCCTTGCTAAAGCACCGTGTCTCTCAGAAAAGCCCCAGCTGTCCTTCAGTGGGGTGGTTGGGACCTTGACTGTACTGTAATGTGTGCTCATTCCTGCTTTTGTTTGCCTTGTTTCTGGAGGAGTGTGAGGAATGGCACAATCTTCTGGGACATTAGTTACCCTTTTTGGCCCATACCTGAACTGCCCTAAAGAGAGTTTGTCTGCTGACAGCCTCTTTGAGACTCTGCCTTTGTTAATGTTCTGTTTTTTTTTTTTTTTTTTTTTTTTTTTTTTTTTTTTTTAAGACAGGATCAGCTAATGGCTCCCTCAGCAGCCAGTCATGCATCAAAAAAATGAAGATGAAGCCTGAGAAGTGGAGAGGAAGGAAATGACCTAACACAAATCTGCTTCCAAACACTTGTACCCACTGCCGTTTCATATCTTGATGCCTTTGCTTTTACTTATCGAGCACATTATGCAATTCTATGCATCCTATCAATCACACAATGGTTACAAAATTATATAGATACCTGCTATTCTAAAGAGAGTGTAAGTTCTTGGGGAAAATAAGCTTTGGGTTTGCCTTTGTAGTCACAGAGCTCAGCCCAAGGTCTGGTATGCAATCAGAATACTCATAATGGCTCTCCCGTACCACTTTCTCTAGATAGATGATATTTACTTTGGCATCTACTCATTATGGATGAAAAGACACAAAGAGTAAGATGCTGGAAAGAGAATGAGAAAATAAGGACAGAGAGGGTCTTACTTATCTTTGCTTGAAAACATGAATGCCTCTAAACAAACTTAAATTAATTAAAACGAGCCACTATTTGTTAGCAACATTGATAACTACATTAAAGTTTTAATTTCATGAAATAAAGTTTCTTCCTGTAATATTCCCATGCTTGATTTTAATGGACTGAATCCCAAAGCATCATAGCTGTGTCTCCAAAGAGGAACTACTGAGAGATGAAGTCATGCTAGTCCGCATGGAAGGTTGACATGCAAGTCCTTCGGGTGGTTATGAAGTCCTCCAGGCAGCTGTCAAAATCAGGACTATTGTTGAAGGAAAACAAACCTTATAGTATTCTTTCCAACTCTTTCTGTAAATTTTAATAATTCTTCAAATTTTTCAGTTTAGCATTTTATTATTTGGGCACATATTTATTTCATTATTTTTAACATGTGCTTATGTGTGTGTTTGTATGTACACATATGCATGTGAGTGCAGGTGAACATGAAGGTCAGGAGTCACATCCCCATGGAACTGCAGAAGGGGGTCAGGAGCCATCTGGTTTGTGGGCTGGGAACTGAAAGTGTCCTTTGCACAAGCAGTGTGCACTCTTGTACTGAAGAGCCGTCTCTCTGGCCTCTTAGTTTTCTTTTAAAAAATATGTTTTGGTTCAACAGACTCCTGCATTGTGACAGTCTATCTTATCTTCAGCCAGTTTAGTCTTTCTTCTGGCTATTTCTCAATACTAAGAGGACAAGGATTCCTTCAGGGTAGGTATGAGGAAATGGATTTCCCTAAAGCAGTGTTTCAAGGGAAGCTGCACTTTTGTGAATATTCATGAAGATGGTTTTAAGAAATATCTAGATTCTGAATAGTCATTGATAGAATAGAAATTGATGAGGAAAGACAGAGAAGATATGGAGAACAAATTTTGGATAGCAACCAGCTGCAACTGGATGTAGGAAGTGCAGATACAGGTGGGCCTTTATCTATATAATATAGAGAAAAATGAGGCATGAAAGAAACTGAAAATGGTTGATGATTCACCATTGTCCTTGGTGACTATAAGGCTGTAGCCTTGCTGTCTCTTTTATGAAGAGACTATCTGGGCAGAAAATGACAAGTTTTCCTTTTTTATAAAGAACTAGCATAGAGTAGTGTTATCAAGGAGATCTAGAACATAGAAAGAAGGTGAGTGTGTGTAAAGGCCAAGGGAGTTAGACATGAAAGGACTGTCCACAGGAATATGCATGCCCTTTAGGAGTAAAAGCCTTCAGATCAAGTTTACTGTAGCCCCCTCCAAAAAAGAAAAATAAACCCAACATGGCCAATAATGTTATAAAACACACACATGTCTCATGGAATCAAATATGAAACTGAAATCCACACAGGAAAAGTCTGGGAAGGGAGGGACTCAAGAAGGCTGGAACTTCTGTCTAGGAGGAGATCTCCCATGACTTATTGATTCCCCAAATATTTCTCTGGTACACTGAGTGGTAGTGGGACTTCCCACTTTGTGGCATTCTAGAGGCTATTCTGGATTTCTGGAACTTTATATGACTTAGCTTTCAGCAAGTTATGTAGCCAAAGTCATTAAATTCTTCCTTGATAAAAAACAGTATGTTAAATGGTATAGTAGACAAAAGATGAGTACAGCATGAGGCAGAGGGGTGGTGTGGAAACCACTCAAGTGTTGGTGACAGAGCTCTTCGAGTAGTGGTAGGTGAGACTTTTGCACTACCAAGTGATGGTTTCTGAAGTGTGTGGCTATGTGCACTCACCCAATATCTACCACAGGATGCTGAGAGTATGTGCTTCACGGTGTGAGACTATGTGTCCTTAAGAAAAACAGTTTGATGGGTTATCACTTTGCAGGTTGGTTCATTAGTAAAAGGTCGGCCTAGAATTAATTATAAGGAAAAAGCTTGCATTGGGTGCCATGCTGGGTCCACACTCTCCAGAGATGAGTGGACAAGCTTTGATCATTTAGGATCATCTCAGTCTGATGCTGAAGTCACTACTAGAGATCTCTGCTGATCAATGATCTTAATAATATCCTGTCTGTGATCTATAGATTATGCAACAGGAAGACATATTCCTGTCTTAAAATTTAGATGAGGCTAATAGTTTGACCAATTGAAATTAATCTCTCTCTATGCAAATTCAATATATTACTGACCTATAGGGTGAGTGCTTCACACTAAGGGAATCAGTACAGATATAAGTTGGGGAGTTCAAACCCATGTGGTGTACCAGGCTCCCAAATAATGAAATAGAGACTTGTTATGTAGAATTTAATGACTTTGGCTACATAACTTACTTTCCTGCTCTCTCTATATCTATCTGTCTGGTAGCTGCTTAGCCCCTGTCCCTGGGCATGTCCCCCTCTTTATCCTTGTTCTTTTCTCCTTCTCATTTTTTTGCATTCTTCTTAAGCCTAGATTTCTCCTCCTTATTCTCTCGGCCTGTCAGCCCCACCTATCCTTTCTCTGTCTAGCCATTGGCTGTTAAGCTCTTTATTATACCAATCAGGTGCCTAAGGCAGGCAAGATGAAACAAATGAAACACATCTTTACATAGTTAAAGTAATTTCCACAACAAGATGGAGTTTATCAATAATCTAAACTCATATGGAACATTTTTGTCTTACCAGATTCAAGGGAAAATGTAATATCAATTTCTTCTTTAGTTTTCGTTCTTTTTATCCCAGACTGTCCTTGAACTAATTATGCTTCCCCTCGGGCTCCCCAGGGTTAGGATTTGATGTATGTGCCACCATGCCTAACAGGGAATACAAATCTCCCTCTAAGCCCTTCCATTTACCCATTCTTGCTTTTTTTTTTTTTTAAAAATGTATGGCTTTATTTTTCATTAATTTCTATTCTCTGCAGACACACACACACACAGAGTTCTAGAAATAACTTACTCAGTCTGCACAGTGTTATTCATATGAGTGTCCAAGACTCCAGCCCCCTGGGTTATTGTTCACTGGAAACAAGGACACCTCCAACAAACTCAAATATCTTCTATTTTTCTCTTCATATCACTATTCTTTTAGTGAGAAGAGAAATCTTATTTATTTCAGTTTGACTGACTTTTTTTTTAAACCTAAGGTTTCTGGACATATCACTGAACAAACAGATATCTATTATTCCCAGGTTGATTCCTGGTTGTAAACTTAATATTAGAAGAAGTTGTCAAAAATGGAGATAATGTATTAGTCAGTTTCCTCATTGCTGTGACCAGATACCTGATAGTAGCATTTAAGAGAGGAAGGTTTTTTGGCTTACAGTTTTAGAGTGTATAGTTCATCTTGGTGGAGAAAGTATAGAAGAGCTCTGTGGGAGACTATGGCTGGAACTCCTCACGTTTTGGTGGATCAGAAAGCAGAAAGATCAGGTAGGTATCAGGGTTGATCTGGACCACAAATAGCCACATCTACTTGCTCCAGACCCAGTGACTCACTTTCTTTAGCTAGGCCCCAAATCGGAAAGGTTTAACAAGCTCCCTGAATAGTACTGTCACCTGGTGCCAAGTGTTCGGATGCATCAGATTTCAGACAGTGAACTCAATACAATCATGTGTCCCATTAGGTCAGGGATCAGTAGACCCTGACCACATGTCTTCAGTGAGGACATTGCATCTGACTCCTTCTGATTGCCCAAATTCTTGTATTTATAATCTAACTTTCTCAGCTTATCGTTGCCCAGTCTCTGACACAGTTTTTCATGGGGTTGTCCCATCTCTGTTGGGGTCAGCTTAAAAAAGCTTTCCTTGTTGCTAGCATTCTTCGAGTGATGCCGAGGAAACCAAGAGCACACACTTTCAGAAGGTTGAGAAACTCGGCACAAGGCTTTCTCAGCAGAGTATGAGAACATCTGATTGATCGATCCCTCTGAGCAATTAATCATGGCTGATGCAGGAGGCCATCATTGGATTGCTTGTTGTCAATAGATCTTGTAGTTCTTCAGTTCAACTGTGGAGACGTTGTGTCTTCAATTTCATTCCTGTTTCAGCATCCAACACTTTTCTGCTTTTCAAGATTATAACCCAAGTGCTCTCTTCTCACAGCCATACAGGCTGTCCACAGAAGGAGCTTTCTTCTCCATGTGCTCAGTGGAGGAGACTCTGAAAGACAGAACAGTATTTAAAGTGGTTGACCACTTTTTCCTTCCTTCCTTGGCTCTGGGAACAACTCACTCTTCTTGCTTCCCACAAGTTTTCTTAAACTTCTAAAAGAGGGAGGAAGGCACAAGGTTTGGTATAGAGCTGCACTTACTGAAAGTTTCTCTTCACTTATGTATCTCTATTCTCAGGTTACCATCATTCCCTAGTCTTTGACCTCACACACCAAGCACTAACAAAGTCTTCACATACAGTTTCCAGTAGAAGACAGAATACCTGGTCTTCCCCTAATAACTCTCCCAATATTCTCATATCAATGACAAATAGTCTCACCATTCATCCCATGCTCAAGTAAGAAAAATCTTTTTCTCTATTCCCATTCCTACCCCAGCTAGCCTGCTTCTATCCCACCAGTAAACTTTCTCCGTTTTCTGTTATGTTTGAAAGACATCTTGGATCTGAGCACTCTTCACTGCTTTTGCCACTATAAATCCTCCAACTGTTCCATCCACCACCTTCTCCTCTGACCTGTATAAGGACTAAATCATTACAGTCAATCGTCAGTATGAGGTTCATTGAACTCCCCAAGGTATCACAGATAATCAGGAGACACTAGATTCCTGCCTTCCCTGGTCAGTCCTGGCTCCTGCTTACTTGGGTACTTTTCAGTTTACCTCAGGGTTTAACTATGTAGTCCAGCTGACCTATCAGGACAGCTGGGAGGATCTTGAGCCTCAGGGGGATGGAGGGTTTGGCCTATGCTAGATGAGTGGGAAACTGTTCTTCCCCAAAGAACCCTGCCAAAGAGAAATTCAGGGGATAGGGAAATGCACTTGAGAGCAGAAAAAGAAAAGAAGACAACAACAAAAACAACCCAGTATTCTCCATCAAATTCTATTTTTGACTTTTCTCTAAGCTGACTCCAACTTCTCGAAGTCAGAAAATGAAGTGCTTTGCTTTTGCTACTTTGAGTCTCTGGCACTCTTATTATTAAGTGAAGACAAGGCCATTGTTTCTCATACCTGCTGGCAAGGTATTCCCCATTCCTCTCTATACTCTTCTTAGTGTATTTCCCACAGTGTCCACAGTGTTGGCCACCTTTGTTTTCCTTGAGATTTGATGGGAGCAAAGTGACATTCTCCCTGTAGCCAGCTGTTGGGCAGGGTGTTTCTGCTTTCTCATCTCATTGTTTCTTCAGAGAGGAGGCTGTCGTAGCAGCCCATGGAGGTTTAGAATAAAATGATGGCATGGAATGAGAGAAGTGGATGACTTTGAGATGTGCTTTGGAGGTACAGTAGGTTGTAATTTTGCTGTGTATGTCCATGCATACCCATTTACCTTTAAAAACAAACCTCAGCAGCATGTGGGAATGTGGTTCCTAAATTTTCCTAATGCACTTCTGGGCTGACTTTGCTGTATAAAAGTAGTCCCTTTACAGTGACATTGATGGCCACAGACTCACGGTAGACAATGAGAGAGATGTAGAGGCGTCTGTGATAGCCTGCCCCCCTAATACAGTCTAGACAGGAAGCCACTGAAGAGAACTCAGAAAAATCATGATAGGGATGCTGAAGTGTCTCTCTTCAAGGTTGATAGCGTCTGGCAGGGGTGGGGGTGGGGAAGTAATGGGTTTTCTTTAAGGGGCTGGGCACTGGGAATTTGGCCATGCCCCAGTGAGTATATGGGCAACACAAACTAGACTTGGAATTTTTTTTTCTTTCTTTCCTTTAGGGGAAGGAGACAGGTGGGAGTGGGGTGAGGTAGGGATGGGTCTGGGAAGACTGAGATGTATGGTTAGGGTGTATTATGTGAAACTCCCAAATAATCTGTAAAATATTATGTTGGGTAAAAAGGTGGCCCTGCCACTGCAGAAGTTGGCTGACTGCCAGTATGACTAGGCAGGCAGAATTTCAGTTTCATTTCCTAAGCAGGAAGCTGCAGGCTGTGGAAAGGTTTCCAGTTTACTGCAGGATTGTTTACTGAGGCAGAAGCTGTCCCTGGCGCTAGCCTTTGTGCAGACTCTTCATTTGGTATGTATGGCAACAAGAGTATTTAAAATTTTTGAAAGCAGTTATTTAAGTGAACATTTTTTGTAGTGATTTTCTTGCTATGTATTTACCCCATGTTCACTAATGTCCTGTGTTCTGTGAGAAAACAAGAGTAAACGAGACCTCTGTGTGCATCTGTCTGGTTTTCAGTGTTTAATGAGGACTGTATTGGCTTTCCCACTAGGCTGTCGAGTATGGCCATGAGAACTCGTTTGACGTGGTTGCAAGAAAAGTGCCTGCAGAATTATTTTGGAGAAAAACGGTTTTGTCTTCTTTATAAAGCGAGTGTGCAGAAGTTCTGTAAGCAGGATTTGTTCTGGAAATGTTGGGATAATGGTCCTACCATGGTTGTGCTATACAGCGAAAACTGTGTTGTTGGTGCCTACTTGCAAGAAGGCTTCCAGAAAAGAGAGATGTCTATCACTCTTTTTGCACTCCAGGAGACTGAAGTTTCAGCATGCCTAATAGGACCATATTTGCCAGCTTTATTGTTCTATGATAGACAGGCTTTCGATTGTATTCCTTGTTTCTATATAGTGTTAGATGAGAAAAATGTGACTATAAGTTCAGAGATATGTGAAAAGCTCGGACTGCCTCCCGAATGTTCTCCCATGGATATTCTCGACTGTGAAACTTTTCGATGCGAAGGTACGTTTGCTTAGACAAGCCTACGGAGTTCTCCCCTGCATATTTAGTGGCTTCTAGATGGCATACCCCTGTGCAAAAGGCACCTTCGATCTTGGGTTCTTCAATCTGGAGAGATGAGCCATGCTTACACCTGGCCAGAAATTGCTAAAACTCAATCATGAAATGAGACCACTTAACATAAGATCTAACCTTTTGTCATGGGTAATGAAATATTTAAGTGTCATACTAACTCCACCCCACTTGCTTGTAGTCATTATTATTACCATTATTATTTTGTGAGTTTGGCTGTGTTACATCTCATAATATTGTGATCACATAGATTGGGCTTTCCTTGGCTAGGGTAGGAAGTTATTAGTTTATTTCAGTTTAAAAGAATCAGCTGCTACATTCATTTGTACTTGGTTATGCTTTTACAACTTACATCCCTAATTTTATTGATTACTCATTTTCTTGAGAGTTCCTACACTTTTTGTTTTGTTTCTGCTTTCAAATATTCCTTATTTCCTGTCAGGATATAGCTCAATTTTATCACAAAGTTGCTGGACAGTATTCACAGTAAGTTTGCACATAATTGTGGTTTTAAGTTGCCTTTCAGACTTTGAAGCTACTTCAGAAATGCTTTATAAAGTCTCAAAGATTTTCTTTTACTTTCATACAGTTTTAATTCTATCTGCTTTTGGTAATTTAATGGTATTTCCTTGCTTTCTCTACATATGGCCCAATAGTGAGAGTTATCACAGATTTGATAGCATTGTTAGGCTAATGGTTTCAGTTTTAAATCTACCCCCTCAAAAGTATTTTTCTTAAAAAAAGGAAGAAAAAGCAAAGCACCCTGAACCTGAACAACTGTCCTGTCTCTAGTCCTCTGCCTTTGCTGCACAACCATTATCTTTCCAGCGGCTAGAATTTATTTTTATCTACTTTTATCTTCTATTTTGACCCAGGACTGCTTTGACTAAATGGGAGTTCCTACCAATAGCTGGCTTTGACAAAAACATGTGCCTATTTTTAAAACAAATTATCTTTATGCATTTCTGCACTTGTATCTTTCAGACCTATTACCATTTTTAGGGAAAGTATCAATTAATATTAGTCTTTCCTTGGTTTGTCTATATTTCTAAGTTCTGCTTCTCTAATTCAGAAGACACTCCTAATCCAGTTCCTGATCAGGCAAAGAGGTCCACACGGCCACTGAGCAGAGGGCAGAGCTCATGTGCAGACACTCCTCCTGAGCTCTTGTGTTTCCAAAACAGGCAATTCCCCTCCCCCCTTGCTTTTTCCTGTGAAAATACTACTTACATATTTGTCTCTAGTGGATTTGCTCCCATTCATTTGACCAGACATACATTTAAGAATTTATAATCTCTATTATTTGTTATTTTCCTTAGAGTTTTTGGATGAGAAAAAGAGGAGAGACATTGCTGTGTAAGTCAATATTTTTTAATCTTTATTACTTTAGATTATGATAATGTATGTCAACAAAATTGATAACACAAATTATTACAGCTAATATATAGACCATCAAAGAATAACCAAAGCTCATGTCTATAATCATAAAACAATTGATATTAGTAACATTAAAAGAACATTGAGTGGGAGGGACTATTTTTAATGGTATATACTTAGGGGAAAATAATTTGCTTACATTGATTTTAGAAATTTTTTTTGACTTTTCGAGACAAGGTTTCTCTGTGTAACAGCTCTGGCTATCCTAGAACTCACTCTTTAGACCAGGCTTGCCTGGAACGCACAGAGATCTGCCTGCCTCTGCCTCTCAAGTACTGGGATTAAAGTCATGAACCACCACCATCCGGCTAGAGTTCTTATAGTAAATTTTTTTCTTTAGAATGTGCTCAGAGAATCTATTAATGACTTTTGAGAACATGTTAGAAATGGTCTACTTCGATAAACTTCAAATGCATATCATATAATTACTTTTAAAGTTCATCATTATTGATCTTCACACTTGGCACGGTTGATATTTATTGCTGAATTTGCAAGGTCTAGTAATGTAAGTGAGCAGTTTTAGTTGCAAGTATTATTTTTGTTTTTATTTCTTTTACAATATGACTTAGGGTAGTGTATTAGCTATGGTTCAGTTGTTCTGACAAAATACCACAACCAAATTAACTCAAGGAAGAAAGGGTTTACTTCAGCTTCGGGTTCTAGAGGGATAGAGGCCGTCATGGGAGGGGAGGCATAGCAAAAGTCCCCAAAAATATGGTACCAGGACCAGGAAGCTGGTGTCAGACACACAGGGAGAAAGAAGAGGAAGTGGGTGAGGTTACAAGCCCTAACGCTGTGCTCATTGGTGCACTTCCTCCAGCAAGGCTCCACCTTCTCAAGATCCTGTACTCTTCCCAAACACCAACATAAGACAGTGTTCAGAAACGTAAGCTTACAAGGGACATTTTCATTGAAACCACCCTATGCAACAGTCTTGTGTGTCCAGGGAAGAAGGCAAGCTGCTAATTATAAATAATATAAGGAAGATAAGTAAATTCTTAGGAGATGTATGGTGAGGTCATGTGAGCTGACCAGCTAATTCTTGAAATGTGTTGAGTTTTAATAGGATACAGAATAATTTATTGCAAACCCTGAGAACATATAAGCCTTATGGAGACCTGGTTCCGCAAGCACGGATTCTGCTCCTGGGTCCGACTGGAGCCGGAAAGTCTAGCTTTGTCAACTCAGTCAAGTCCGTTTTCAGAGGCAGCATCACACACCAGGCCTTGGTGGGCTGTGACGTAAATGGGGTATCTGACAAGGTAAATATATTTTAGGCTACCCAGGCTTCTTTGGTTCAAATAAGCTGTATTGGAAACCATGTTGACACTCAATTTCATGAGACTTTATTTAAATTTATAAATAAGGAAATGTCTTTTTCAAATTGTTGTCCTTCACTTTTCAGTTTAGGACATATCCCGTCACATATGGGAGTGATGGTTTCCCCCTGCCGTTTGTTCTGTGTGACTCAATGGGGCTGAGTCAGAAAGCTGGCTTGCATGTAGATGACATAGACTTCATATTAAAAGGCCACATTCCTGACAGATACCAGGTAAGATTTTACCGATTCTTAAAAATCATGGGTTGATTTTTAAAATGTCTGCTTTTGCCCACCTTCCAGTTGGTGTACACTGGACTAAGATAATCGCTTCAGCATGTTAAAGGGCACTCATTTCAAATTCCTTTGTTCCTTTTTGATAGACATTTCACAAGGAATTAAAAAAATTCAGAATATTCTTCCGTTACACCCACTGTAACAGCCATCAGTTGTTTAGACTGCTTTCTGTGAAACAGACACCCATCTGTATGAATTACATAAATAACCACCTTTGCTAGCAGGAGACCTGAAGGCAGAAGCTTGGGAATGTGAGAGCTTTCCTGGGGCTATTAATTTCAGAAGTTTCCATTTTTGAGCATCGCAGCATGGCCATTGTCTTAGTCAGGGTTAGTATCGCTTTAATGAAACACCATGACCAAAAGTAAGTTGGGGAGGGTTTATTTAGTTTATGCTTCCACGTCATGGTTCATCCTCAAAGGAAGTCAGGATAGGAACTCAAACAGGGCAGGATGTTGGAGGCAGGAGCTGATGAAAGAGTGCTGTTTATTGGCTTGCTCAGCCTGCTTTCTTACAAACCCCGGGATCAGTTGTTCAGGGATGGCACCACCCACAATGGGCTGGCCCTCCCCCATAAGCACAAATTTATGAAAATGCGCTATAGCTGGATCTTATAGTGACATTTCCTGAATTGAGGCTCCCTCCTCTCTGACGACCCTAGCTTGTATCAAGTTGACACAAAACCAGCCAGTACAGGCATCAGGGACTGAATATTTGTTTCCCCCAGGTTTCCTATGCTGAAGTCCCAGCCATCAGTGTGATAGCTCTGGTAGGTGGAGGCTTTGGGAAGTAGTTATGTTGTGAGGGTGGAGCCCTTAAGCTGTGGAATCACTGTGCTCAGAAACCACGTGACAGCTGATCCCTTTTTGCCATTTGATGGTATTGGTTAAAAATGGATGTCTGAAAAACCTCAATAGACAAACTTTTCTGGCACCTTGATTATCTTGTCCAGCCTTAATATGAGGGGAGGTACCTAGTCTTACTGCAAACCTGATATACTATGTTTGGTTGATTATCCGTGGGAGGCCTGACCTATTCTGAAAGCCGCAAAGGAGGAGTAGATGCGGGGTCTGGGCTGGGGAGACATCGAGGAGAGGAGGGAAGGGAAAATACAGTCCGGATATAATTAATAATAGTATCACTTTTAAAAAAGTGATTTGTGTCTGACAATGAGCAAATGTTAGATTAACACGAAGACTTCCCTTGTTTGAGATTTCACATTTCTGCTACTCTGTTTATTTATGTCTACAAATCGTTAAACCTTATTTCTGGGGCTGGTTGATTTTCATTTGATTAAACTATTATTTCTGTAGTATACTGACAGAAAAATTAAATCTGACTTGGAAATAAAAGAAATGGGCTCTTGGTTGTTTTCTGAGAGTTTGCCATTAATAATAAGATACTATTTTATTATCATTGTGAACTCAATTTAAACTGAATATACTTGATGCATTTTGATATACTGTACTTTTTCTATCTCCAAATGCTGGGACCAGTAGTACCTCTGTAAGTTAAGCCAGGCCTTTTGACAGAAACACAAGTCTTTTCTGTGTGTTTTTTTTTTTTTTTTCTCTGTGGTGGAACTGGATCCCCTGCCAGAGCTTTTTGTTTCCCATCCTGTATTGGGAGTCAATTTCTTCTTTACAAAGCCCTGGCTTGTAGCATTAGAAAACTTGTTGCTACTTTGTTGGGTGTTTTTTCTTTCACTTTTCAGGGAAGCACATGTTTCTCTGATAAGCTATCTTATAAATTCATATATATGTATTCAAATTAAAGACCAGAGACATTTTATTTAACCTTTTCTAATTATATTTTTGTCGAATTTCTCCCCAATTGAGAGTTTTTGTTCTCTAGGATGGTAGAGTGTATAGATTAAATATTGTATCGCAACTAATTTTTTCATGTCACATGGTAGCTTCAGAACAGACTCCATTACTAGTGTAAGTTGCCTAATCATATTTAATATTATTTAGTAAAATAAGAATCAAAACTGGAGACAATAGATCAATTCTAGCAGGTTCTTACGCGATGTTGAGCATGCACTCATATATAGCTATGGGGCACACAAGTTATACTGTTTTACAGTCAGTCAGTAATAGTTTGACTCTAGTTATCCCAACTAAGTACAACGTTTAATTTGATTTATGAATTTGTTTTAACATTTGATTTTGTTTTATTTTATAACTTATTATTATTTATATACATAACGTCAAATTTGTAGAATAAAAATATTTAAAGAATTGATCTTCTTTCTCTGTTTATTAACACAAATGCCTTTGTTTTTTATATAGGAAACCATAATAATTTTTGACTTGCTTTCCCTTTGCAATATCAAAGAATATACATACATATTTGTTTTCTTCATTTTTAGAGGAGTTATAATATCCTATGGCTTACTGCTATACCACGTTTTTGTTGCATGAATAGACCTAGAATCAAGACATTGTGCAGATCTCATTTTGTCTTTATGCCAATATCTCTGTGAGACAGAACCTGGCAGAATGATTGTTAGTTCAAGGATATTGGTATCATTCTGTTAGAGGTCCCATAGACTGTCTTGGCCTCCTAGCTGGCACTCACATTCAGAGTACTTGGTTCGGTCCAATGCTGTTTCGCCAGCTTTATGACTAGGGTACCCATGCCCTCACTAGGTCATGTTAACTGTTTCTGTGGGTTTCTGCAGCACCATCTTGGCTCTGTTGCTTATCCTTCCTCCCTCTCCACAATTGGATTGCAGTAATATGGTTCAGTACTTACCTGTGGGTACCTGTTTCTGCTTCAAACAGCTACTGGATGAAGGCTCTAGGAATGGTAACCAAGGTAGACACCAATCTCATTCTAGAGAAAGGGAATCAATGGCATTTTGTCTACCACTGCTCGATTCTTAGTTGAGGTCATCCCTGTGGATCCCTCTAACACTTCCCCTGTGCCAGACCTCTCTCCATACCTGTACAGTTTCCGTCTATCAAGGCATCTCCTTTCTTGCTCTCCTCTATTCCTCCCCTGTCTCAGTTCTTTTGTTCTCTCCCCTCCTCCCCTTCTTCCCTTCCCACCTCCTTCCTCTCCACCCCGCCCATGCTTCTACTTTCTCCAAGGGTCCTTGTGCCCCTCCCCTTCTTCTAAGGACTATACAATCTTCTCTTGGGGTCCCCCTTGTTTTCTGGCTTCTCTGGTGGTGTGGATTGTAGGCTGGTAATCCTTTGCTCTATGTCTAAAAATCATATATGAATTAGTGCATACCGTGTTTGTCTTTTTGTGACTGGGTTACCACACTCAGGATGGGTTCTTCTAGTTCTATCCATTTGCCTGTGAATTTCAAAATTCCACTGTTTTTTTTTTTCCTGCTGAGTAGTACTCCATTGTGTAAATGTACCACATTTTCTTCAACCATTCTTAAGTAGAGGGGCATCTAGGTTGTTCACAAGTTCTGGCTATTACAAATAATGCTGCTATGAACATAGTTGAACAGATGTCCTTATTGTATGAGTGTGCATTCCTTGGGTATATGCCCAAGAGATGGATTGCTGGATCTTGAGGTAGACTGATTCCCATTTTCCTGAGAAACTGCCATACTGATTTCCAGAGTGGTTGTACAAGTTTGCACTCCCACCAGCAATGAAGGAGTGTTTCACTTTCTCCACATCCTCTCCAGATAGACTGTCATTGGTGTTATTGATTTTAGCCATTCTGATAGGAGTAAGATGGTATCTCAGAGTGGTTTTGAGCTGCATTTCCAGATGGCTAAGGATGTTGAAATTTTCTCAAGTGTCTTTCAGCCATTTTAGATTCCTCTGTTAAAAATTCTCTATTTAGTTCTGCACTCCACTTTGTAATTGCATTGTTTGATGTTTTGGTGGCTAGCTTCTTGAGTTCATTGTATATTTTGGTGATCAGCTCTCTGTCAGATGTGGGGTTGGTGAATATCTTTTCCCATTCTGTGGGCTGGCGTTTTATCTTGCTGACAGTATCCTTTGCCTTACAGAAACTTCTCATTTTCAGGAGGTCCCTTTTATTAATTGTCCATCTCAAAGTTTGTGCTAAGGGTGTTATGTTCAGAAAGCAGTCTCCTGTACCAATTTGTTCGAGGGTACCACCTATCTTCTCTTCTAGGAAGTTCAGTGTGGCTGAAATTATGTTGAGGTCTTTGATGAATTTGGGCTTAAGTTTTGTGCATGGTGATAGATATGGATCTATCTGCAATCTTCTACATGTCCGAATCCAGTTATGCCAACACTATTTGTTGAAGATGTTTTCTTTTTTCCATTGTATAACTTTAGCTTCTTTGTTAAAAATCATGTGTTCATAGGTGTGCGGGTTAATATCAGTGTTTTCAATCAATTCCATTGGTCAACCTGTTTATTTTTGTGCCAATACCAAGCTGTTTTCAGAACTATGGCTCTATAATAGAGCTTGAAGTCAGGGATGGTGATGCCTCTGGAAGTTCCTTTATTGTACAGGGTTTTTTGGGCTATCCTGGGTTTTTTGTTTTTCCATATGAAGTTGAGTACTGTTCTTTCAAGGTCTGTGAAGAATTGTGTTGGGATTTTGATGGGAATTGAATTGAATCTGTACATTGCTTTTGGCAAGATTGCCATTTTTACTATTTTGATCCTACCTATCCAAGAGCATGGGAGATCTTTCCATTTTCTGGCAAATTCTTTAGTTTCTTTCTTTAAAGACTCAAAGTTCTTACTGTACAGGTCTTTCACTTTTTTGGTTAGCATTACCCCAAGATATTTTATGTTGTTTGTGTCTATTGTGAAGGGTGATGTTTCTGTGATTTCTTTCTCTTTGCATTTATCATCTATATATAGTAGGGCTATTGACTTTTATTTGAATTACTTTTATATCCTGCTACTTTGCTGAATATGTTTATCAGCTGTAGGAGTTCCCTGGTAGAATTTTTCAGGTAACTTATGTAGACTATCATACCATCTGCAAATAGTGAAAGTTTGATTCTTCCTTTCTAATTTGTTTCCCTTTGATATCCTTTTCTTGTCTTATTGCTCTAGCTAGAACTTCAAGTATAATATTGAAGAGATATGGAGAGGGTGGACAGCTTTGTCTTGTTCCTGATTTTAGAGGAATTGCTTTGGGTTTCTCTCCATTTAGTTTAATGGTGGCTGTTGGTTGGCAGTATATTGCTTTTATCATGTTTAGGTATGTTCCTGTTATTCCTGATCTCTCCAAGACCTTTATCATGAAGGGATGTTGGATTTTGTCAAAGGCTTTTTCAGCATCTAGCAAGATGATCATGTGGTTTTCTTTTTCAGTTTGTTTATATGGTGGATCACATTGATGGATTTTCATTTGTTGAACCATCCCTGCATTTCTGGGATAAAGCCAACTTGATCATGGTGGATGATTTCACTGATGTGTTTTTGGATCCAATTTGCCATTATTTTGTTGAATATTTTTGCATCAATGTTCATGAGGGATATTGGCTTGCAATTCTCTTTTTTTGTTGTGTCTTTGTGTGGCTTGGGTACAAAGGTAATTGTAGCCTCATAGAAAGAGCTTGTCAATGTCCCTTCTGCTGCTATTATGTGGAACAATTTGAGGAGTCCTGTTATTAGCCCTTCTTTGAATTTCTGGTAGAATTCTGCACTGAAACCTTTTGGCCCTGAGCTTTTGTTGGTGTTTATGACTGCTTCTATTTCATTAGGGTTATAGGTCTGTTTAACTTGCTTATCTGCTCTTGATTTAATTTTGGTAAGTGATATTTATCCAGAAATTTGTCCATTGTCTTTAGATTTTCAAATTTTGTGGAGTACAGGTTTTCAAAGTATGACCTGATGATTCTGTGTATTTCCTCAGTATCCATTGTTATGTTCCCCTTTTCATTTCTGATTTTGTTAATTAGCATGTTATCTCTGTGTCTTTTGGTTAGTTTGAATAAAGGTTTGTCTATCTTCTTGACTTTCTTGAAGAACCAACTCTTTGTTTCATTGAGTCTTTGCAGTGTTTTCCCAGTTTCTACTTTATTGATTTCAGCCCTCAGTTTGATTATTTCCTGGCATCTACTCCTCTGGGGAGAGTTTGCTTCCTTTTGTTATAGAGCTTTCAGTTGCACTGTTAATTCTCTAGTGTGACTATTCTCCAATTTCTTCATGTGGGCACTTAGTGCTATGAACTTTCCTCTTAGCACTGCTTTCAAAGTGTCCCATAAGTTGGGGTATGCTGTGTCTTCATTCTTATTAAATTCTAGGAAGTCTTTAATTTCTTTTTTTATTTCTTCCTTGACATAGGAATGGTACAATTGCACATTATTCAATTTCCATGAGTTTGCAGGGTTTCTGAAATTTGTGTTGTTGTTGAATTCTAACTTTAGGGCATGGTGGTCTGATAAACACAGGGGGTTATTCCAATATTTTGTATCTGTTGAGGTTTGCTACATTGCTGAGTATATAGTCAATTTTAGAGAAGGTTCCATGTGGTGCTAAGAAGAAGGTATATTCTTTTGTGTTCAGATAGAATGTTCTATAGATATCTGTTAAACCCAATTGGGTCGTAACTTCTGTTAGTTCTTTTGTTTCTTTGTTAAGTTTCTGTCTGGTGGTCCTATCTAGTGGTGAGAGAGGGGTGTTGAAGTCTGCTATTATAAGTCTGTGACGCTTTATGTGTGATTTCAGCTTTAGTAATGTTTCTTTTATGAATGTGGTTGCCTTTGTATTTGGAGCATAGATATTCAGGATTGAGACTTCATCTTGATGGACTTTTTCTGTGATAAGTATAAAGTGCCCTTCTTCTTTCTTTTGATTGATTTTAGTTTGAAGTCATAGATAATCCCACTTTACCAAACATCAAAAAAGTGGGGAAATCCTAACACCACCACCAACAAATCTAAAACAAATAAGAATCAACAATCAATGAAAATTAATATCCCTCAATGTCAATGGTCCTAACTTGCCTATAAAAAGATACAGACTAACAGAGTGGATACAAAGACAGAATCCATCCTTCTGCTGCAAACAAGAAACACATCTCACTGTCAAAGACAGATATTCCCTCAGAGTAAAGGATTGGGAAAAGACTTTCCAATCAAATAAACCCAAGAAACAAGCTGGTGTAGCAATCCTAATGGTCAGCCTCTTAATATCAGAGATCTGTGCATTTGTTCAAATGCATAGGACTGGAGTATAGTTTATGAACAAACACACTCTGTCTAAAGATTCCAACTTCCTTTGTGAGTGCTCTGACTTCTGTCTTCTTATCTACTTTACAGTTCAATTCCATGAAGCCAATCACATCAAACCATCCAAACTACATTCATGACTCCCTGCTGAAGGACAAAATTCATTGTGTGGTGTTTGTGTTTGATATCAATTCTGTTGAACAGCTCTCTTATGGACTGGTCACAAAGATAAAAAGGATTCGAAGGACATTGATAAGATGTGGTAAGCATCCTTTCATTTTGCTACTGAAAGTAACTAAACTTTACAACAGAAATTTGGGGAGTGAATGAGATTACAGTGATCACAAATGTGAGTCTTTCTAGCTCATCAACATGGTTACATCCAATTGAGATCTCAACAGCTGTATGACTACTCACATGTGACTTAACCTCAATTTCCCTCAATATGTTAAAATTGCTAAAATTATAGGAACTCCCTCTGACTATTTTGTTTGTAAATTTTACACAAGTTGAAGAGTAGCCAACTGCAACCAAATACCAACTTGATACTTTGTCACATAGTTTTTGACCAATTGCTCCTGATGGGGGATGTCCTTCTGTATTCTGTGAAAATATGTTTCTCTTATTGGTTGATGAATAAAGCTGTTTTGGCCAATGGACAGGAAGGATGTAGCCATGCAAGAAGAATAGTAAGGGCTTCCAGACTCGGAGAATGCTGGGAGGAGGAATGCAGAGGGTGAGTTGCCAGAGAGACAGCATGTAGCTGCCAAGGAAGAAAGCAGTCTGAGTAGTCTCCAGTAATCCAAAACCACATGGAAATACATAGATTGATAGAAATGGGCTAGGGTGTAACAATAACTCTTTCCACCAGCTGCCTGCGTTCTGCGGCCACATGAGAGCCCCCAAATAACACACAGAGATTAATATTAGTTGCAATGCTGCTGGCCAATGACTAGGATTTCTTATTTGCTAGCTCTATCTTAAGTATCAACTATAACCATTAATCTATATATTTTATAAAGACTTATCTTATCATGGACTCCAGCGGCATGCATCCTCTCTTCCTTGGGATCACACATTTCCCAGAATCCTCCTTCTCTCCTAGTCTTGCTTAAGTTACTTTCTTATTGGCCAACAGTGCTTTATTTATCAACCAATAAGACAAACATATACACAGAAGGACTTCCCCCATCATCAGGGAGAGGGAACTGGGATTGGTATGTAAAATAAGATTGTTTTTAATTTAAATAAAAATTAATCTAAAAAAGAAATGGGTTAATAACTAAGAGAGTGCTAGCCAGTAAGAAGCCTGAGTTATTGTCCAAACAGTTTATAATTATTATAAGCCTCAGTGTGTTTATTTGGGACTAAAAGGCTGTAGAACCAGTCAGGGAAGAAACTTCTGCCTACATGCTACATCTTTCCTTTTGGTCCTTACAGGATTAGAAAATAGAAAGAAATATTCTAGCAAGAAAAAGAGTAGACATACAAAATGCCTGGTAGATAAAGGCAGCAGAAAGGCAGAAGAACACAAGCTGGTGATTCAGGATCCCAACTCTGCCTTTCTTGGTCTTATCCACTGGAGTGTGAAAGAGCCTATCACAAATTTGACTGAGAAGCAAGGAATGACTGACTTACCTGCTCACTGAAATAGAAAGGTTTTAAAATCTTGTGTAGGGATTTGTTTGCCAAAACTATAAAGTAGGAGTAGCTTATTCATGAGGTCATGGTGATTTTTCTCTCTTGGAGTGTCTTCCCCTATCTTCTCTGGCATTTTCTCTAGTTTCCATTAAGACAACACATTTAGGACTGAATATCAATTGACAATAATATGGTGTAAATTCTAGTTAGTTCTTCTAAGTGGTTACTTGTGAGCTTTACTTCTTAGCTTGGAACAAAGGAGACATCCCATCCAGAAGAAATTCCAGGGTGTGTGTGTGTGTGTGTGTGTGTGTGTGTGTTATAGATGGAGGTGTGTGTGTGTGTGTGTGTGTGTGTGTGTGTTATAGATGGAGGGGTCACTGGAGGTTGAGAACTCCCTAAATCTTAAGTTGCTGCATTGCTTGCCTGTAGCAAAACTAATAATTTATTAATTTAGAAATGCCATTGATATCTGAAAGGATAAAATCCTATGTGTTTCTTTGACACAGGTGTTCTGCATGTGGCTTTGCTTACACACGCGGATAGCCTGGATCTGATTACAAAAGGAGACCTTATAGACATATACAGCTGTAAGCCTCTGAAGCTCAAGGTAATGAGTGGACATTCATGAGGAATGTCATTTATATACATATTATATAACTACTAAACTGAAGATGAAGTAAAATAATTGCTAGGATAGTTAGGGACATTTCCCAGGCTTAGAAGATTGAATATCCATGCAACTTATCTTTTTGTTATATAGAGAATACTTTAATTAGTTTTTGTAATCAAACCCACGTAGATAAGACCTTACATATTTAATACAGTGTGTTACCCTTGTACAAATGGAAAAAATTAAGTTCAACATTTCTAGACCAATATGGCTGTTAATTTTTGTACAATGCCAACTCAACACAGTAAACTGGGATACTTTTTTCCAAAGTTGACAGCACAGCTAAAGTTTCCAAAAATTCAAATTATATATATATATATATATATATATATAATATTAATTTGAATTTTTTTAAAATTAAAATTCAAAAAAGACCAATAATAGCAGTATCTTATGCATCAATAGTAGCAACAGCTTTTCCAGGTTCTGCAGTCATTTGAACAAAATTGTACACTCCAGAACACTCCATTTAAAAAACAAAACAACAACAAAAAAGTAAAAAACAAAATCCCAGAAAACATCACAGTTCTGTTACTCTTGTGGTACCTGGCACCATTTTTTAAAACTTAGCTTCTCAATCATAATCTGGAAGGAAACCATTCTGAGCAACATCATTAAAAACAGCTCTGATAAAGCACGGTCACTACTATGTATCATAAAGCAGGTCCACATATGAGTGAGTACATATCATGTTTGTCTTTTTGTGATTGGGTACCTTTCTCCGAATGGTTTCTTCGAGCTCCATCCATTTTCCTAAGAATTTCAAGATTCCATTGTTTTTTCCCGCTGAGTAGTACTCCATTGTGTAAATGTACCACATTTTCTCTATCCATTCTTCAGTTGAGGGGCATCTAGGCTGCTTCCAGTTTCTGGCTATTACAAATAGTGCTGCTATGAACATAGTTGAACATATGTCCTTGTTATATGAATGTGCTTCTTTTGGGTATATGCCTAAGAGTGGAATTGCTGGATCTTGTGGTAGACTCATTCCCATTTTCTTGAGGAGTCGCCATACTGATTTCCAAAGTGGCTGTACAAGTTGGGACTCCCACCAGCAGGGGGGCAGTGTTCCATTTTCTCCACACCCTCTCCCGCCTAAACTGCCATTGGTGTTTTTGATTTTAGCCATTCGGACAGGAGTAAGATGGTATCTCAGAGTTGTTTTGATTTGCATTTCCTTGATGACTAAGTATGTTGAACACTTTCTTATGTGTCTTTCTGCCATTTGAGATTCCTCTTTTGAGAATTGTCTATTTAGTTCTGTACCACATGCAACTTATCTTTGTGTTGAACTTTGTTTATTTATATTTGCTACGATTTAATTTAATTCAGCAAATATTTGTTGATTTCTTTATGATCAAACCAATACAATAACCTCTAATCTGATACACAGATGTCAAGGACAATCATTGCACTAAAGTGATTGTAATTTTATAGGCAGAAGTGAGCACATAGGGAAGTGGAAGAAGAGGAAGTAGACAGATGTATGACATGATTACATACGATAAACACCATGTAAGAAAATGGAGAAGGTAACATGTTTTGGTGATTTGAAGGAGAAAAAAAAATCACAGGGGATTATTTAACTGCAAAGTTTACACTGGGAGATACTGTTTAAGGATTTTCGTAAGAGAAGAGACAAAAAAGTGAAAAAGAATTTAAGCAAGGATGTATTAGAGGGCAAAAATGTAGAATGTTTGAGATACCTGGAGTTCTCAGTGTAATGGTCAGCTGGGTACTTGAAGTGGACAGAAATACAGAAGCCATGGACTTCAGACAGTCTCCATTTATCCACCATTAAGATCTCTAAAAATTAACACAGCTGAAGAGTAGATGGGAGGCAGAAACATGCAGATGAGGGAGCACTAGTTGTGAGCATGCGTGATAGATTTTTCTTATTCAATCATGGTAACAATCCTCGGAGATGGGGACAGTTAACGCTGTGTTACAGATGAGGAGACCAAATGAACCAGAAGCAAGCTTTTGCCAATGTTTAATAATAGTGCTAAGAAATGACTGAGCTATGTTGACAGCCTAGGTGGTCTATGTTCAGGATGACCTAGTCTAAGCAAGAATTAAGTGTTAAACAAGTCTAATAAAATTGATTTATCCTGGGCATGTCTTATAAAAGGAAACTGGAATTTGTGGACAATAGTTCATGCGTGTTAAAATTGCTTCAGTTTCATAAGAATCGCTATAGAACAGGGAGTGGCTATTCATTTTGTTTGTTTGTTTCGAATTGCTGTCTTCCTAATGTACCTCTGTTGGTACTCTACACAAGTACAGAAACCACTTAATACCATCTGGCCTCACAGTCCATGCTCATGTAAAAAATGGCATCCCTTCTCCACCAGTGTCCATTATTTGCCCTCGATTTACTGACCTTTATTATGTCACTCTCTCTTCTCTCTTGGCAACACTTCCTTTCCTTATCAGTGCTCCAAGAAATCCCATTCCTTCTTTTTATTTCCCTCTATCCTTCTATCTTTCCCCTTCCTCCTTTTCCTCCTCTTTATTTCTCCTCTTTATCTCAAGTTTTGCCTCACTTCTCTGCCCATTCCAATTTTGTTTTTTAAGAGTTCTCAGTTTTTCCTTACAATAAATTTGATCATGTTTTTCCTTCCTCTGGTTTGTCACAGTTACTCCCTACCTCCATACCCATCAAACTGTGTGTCCTCTCACTTTCAAAACAAAACAAAAAAATAATAATAAACCCCAAGGAATCACAAACCCCACAAAACAATAATCAAACAAACCAATGAAAAAGCCAAAACAAAATAAAACAAACCTCCCACAAACAAACAAAAACAACCCACGAATTTCATTTTGTGTTGGCCAACTGTTCCTGGGTATAGGGCCTGCCCAAAGGTTAACATATTTAGTGACACTCCCACTGATTTTCCTTTTGCCAGTGGGTACCAATACCAGATATTTCCAATTTAGGGGTGGGAGCCTGTGTTCACTTCCCCTCTCTGTTTGATCCTTTGCAAGCTCTATGCATTCTGTCACATTCTCTGCGAGTTTGTGTGTGTGTCAAGTCCTGTTGTGTCTAAAAGACACAGTGTTATTGTAGTCACACACCACTTCTGCCTCCTTACTCTTAAAACCTTTCTGCCTCTTCTTCTGCATAGATCCACCGCCCTGATGGGAGAAGTCTGATGAGGACACCCCATTTAGGGCTGAGTGCTCCAAAGTCCTTCACTCTCTGTACATTGTATAGTTTTGGTTGGTTGTGTTAAGTCTCTCCTACTATGAGAAGCTTCTCTGCTGTGGGCTGAATAAGGCATTTATCCATGTGTCTAGCACAGTGACATTGTGAGTCACTTTTTTGCTTTGCTCCTTCAGCACAATAATAATATTAGGTTTTCTCCTAGGCCCCTGGTCTCAGGTTCTTGGTCACTTCAGTAGCGCCAAGGATGATTTTCTGCTCCTGGAGTGTGCCTTAAATCCAGTCTAAAGGGGGATGGCTGCTCCCATAACATTTGCCCCAATATTGCACCAGTATATATCTTTCAGGAAGGTCACTGTTGTAGCTCACAGGGGTAGTAGATGGAAGGTACAGATATTATCTTTCTCCTTCTGCAAAGCATCATCTAGTACTGTGAATACTAGGTTATAGGGGTGAGGCTTTTAGTGAGATACTGCCTCAATTTCTCTGTGTTCTACGATGTAAATAGGTATCTTAAGCAATAAGGCATTACTATCATGTTGTGGAGAGAAATTAGTAACTTGGCAATAGAATGTGATGTTTCTTGGGCGTCGGGGGGAATCCATGAGATCCTTTTTGCCAATGACTCAAAAAGATGTAACTCATCTCTGGCACAGAAGGTTTTACTTAGTATATGATGTTTAGTTGGGGCATTGTTGCCACTATTATTTGATGACTCCATCCATATTCCTTTTATGTTATGTATTTATTTTAGGAATCTTATACCTTAGTAGGTTTCATTACTGTTTTTCAAATTGCCTTCAGTGTTAATTGTCCTTCCTCCTTTACCCATTTCTCCCATCCTCCTTTCTATTTAATCTTCCTATTCTAGTTTCCCCCTTATCTCTCCGAAACACTGGATTAGATTTTCCATTCCTTGGGAAATTTCTCCCTTAAATTCCCCCACTCCTCTCCCCAGCAGTCCCTTACTAAGTACCCAATCTACATGGTTATTCAGATTGTAGCACACATAACAAAACCTTAAAGGTAGCATCCACATACAAGAGTAAACATACAGAATTAGTGTTTTGGGGTCTAGATTACTGCACTAAGGATTTTTTCCCCTAGATCCACCTATGAATTTCAGAATGTAGTTTTCTTAGCAGCTGAATAATATTTCATTGTGTAAATCTACCACATTTTTTATTATCCATGAGTCAGTTGCTGGACACCTAGGCTGTTTCCAATTTCTGACTATCACGAATAGAGTACAAAGAACATGGATGAGAAAGTGTCTCTGTATTAGGAGTCCTTTGGGGATTTGCTTAAGTGTAGTGTAGCTGGATCTTGAGGTAGGTCCATTTTCAGCTTCCTAAGGAACCACCACCCCAGCTTTCATAGTGGCTGCACCCCAGTTTGTCATCCCCCACCCCCAGCACCAATTAGTAAGTGTTTCTCTTCGACATGTGCTCACCAGTGTGAGCTGTCATTTGTTTTATTAATTTTGGCCATTATGACTGTGGATATGACGAAGTTTTCAAAGTAGTCTTGATTTGCATTCTGTAATGACTAAAGATGTTTACTATTTCTGTAAACTTTTCCTAGTCTTTTGTCTTTCATCTTTGAGAACTCTTGGCTTAGTTTCTGTACCCCATCTTTTTAATTGGGTTGCTTATTTTTATGTCCTTATTATTTTGTTGTTCTTTATATGTTTTAGATACTAACACTCTATCAGATGTATAATCGTCAAAGATTTTTTATATTCTGTAGGTTGCTGGTTTGCCCAAATGATGGTGTCCTTTGCCATACAGAAGCTTTTCAGTTTCATGAGGTCCATTTATTAGTTGTTGGTCTTAGTGGCTGTGCGAATGGTGTTTTATTCAGAAAGTCTTCTCCCGTGCCAATAAGTTCAAGGCTATACCCCACGTTCTCTTCTATTAGATTTAGTATATCTGGTCCTAAACTGATTTGTAAAACTCCATTTAGAGTTGAGTTTTTTTGCAGGGTGGTAAGTATAGATCTATATCTTTTTTCTACATGTAGCCACCCAGTTTGGCCAGCACCATTTGTTGAAGGTGCTTTCTTTTTTTTTCCAGTGTGTATTTCTATGTTCTTTGCCAATAATCATATGTCTATAGATGTGTGAGCTTATGTTTGGGTCTTCACTTTGATTCCATAGATTCACATGCCTGTTTTATGCCAACACCATGCTGATTTTATTACTGTAGCTCAGTAATACAATATCAGATACAGGATGGCGATACCCCCACCAGTCTTTCTGTCCTTTTGTTATTCAGGTTTGTCTTGGCATCTTGTTTCTCTTTGTTTTTGTATGTGTGTTTCTATATGAAGTCAGAGATGTTTGCTCACTTTCTCTGAACAATTATGTTGGAATTGTGATGGGGATTTCATTGAATCTGTGGTTTGGTTTTGGTAGGATGGTCATTTTCACAGTATTAATCCTAATGACCCATGAGCACACCATTTGTTTTTAAGTCATGTCTACTATATCAAGACATTTTAAATAAAAAATAATGGTGATATTGGAACTCGATGTGAAGTTGCTCAAGAACGTGCTGCAGAGGGTCTGATCTTTTTTTTTTTTTAAAATATAGGAAAATGATAACCAAGCTCTTGCTTTTTATTACTTCTCTGATAATTTACATTGGAATCAGACTTTTTACTACTTTGAGACATCTGAGAGGTTGTGTGTATGTATCTGTGTGAGTTTGTATGTGTGCTCATGCTTATATGTGTATAATTACATATATGTATGAAGTCATGATTCAGTTAGGTGTCTTCTTAACTGATCTCCACTTTACTTTTTTCGATAAAGTCTCTCACTGACCTTATAGCACATTTATTTGACATGACTGGTAGACTAGCAAGCCCCTGGCATCCTCTTTTCTCTTTCCTAGTACTGATATTTGTTTTAATATGTATTCTCATGGATCAAACTCTGTTCTCATTTTTACACAACTCTGGTTTTTAAATTTTGTATTTCAGCTAGAAGCAGTCCACAGAGACTTTGGTTTTGCTTTTTCTGACATCTTGGTGGTTAGTAATTATGTCTCGGAATGGCATCTGGACCCTGTGAAGGACAGGCTAATCCTCTTGGCACTGAGACAGATCCTGAATACTGCCAATGACTTCTTAGAAGACTTGCCATTGGACAACCAGGTAGACTGGTGATCTCAGAGCTAGAAGTATCATCAACTTGGCTAAGTTTTATTTGAGTTTGTTGCTTACCTGGTAGGTCTGTCTCTGGGCTATTGGCATATGAGTAGCTCTGACCTTTAACCTTTAGCCTGTACATTTCCTTCCTGCATTCTTCCTCCTTTTTGGAAGATCTGCGTAACTTCACTCTTGTTTTAAAATGAAAATTACAAAATGATATATCCCTTTCACTGACTGAAAATAATGTGCTCACCTCTGTCCTCTTCTTTCACACTGGGCTGCTTTGCTTGGGACCTAGACCTGGATTGGATCAACACTGTCTCTCATCAGATGTGATCTTAGAGGATCTGTCCCTTCCTTAGGACCAAAAATATCTGGTCCTACATGCACACGCATGCACTCGAGTTACACACACACACACACACACACACACACACACACAATTGTCTAAAGATCTAGGAACCAAAAATGGGGAAAATATTGTCTTTTGAGACTGGCCTAATTTGCTCAATAGAGCATCTTTAGTTGCATCTATTTTCCTGAGAATAATTTAACTTTTTGTTTTGTAGTTGAAAGAAATTCCATGTGTGTAAACTACACATTTTCTATATTCATTCCTCATTGTTGTGCACCTAGTTGGCTTCCATCCTTAGCTATTGTAAATAATGCTATAATATACAAGTGTGGAAATATTTTTTGTGACATTTTTAACTTGGGTTTTTGATTCCCCCAGTCTCACTTATTTCTGCTTCATTTTGTGTGGCTCCTCCTAGTGAAATATTTGTCCTTTGTGATTGTAGACTCATCTTGTCTTTCAGTATGTTCTGTTACTAATCTGTGACTGGAATGTGCTGCACTGCTACCATAAGAGATTAAATGGAAGTTTTGCTGTGTTTTATTCAAATCTTATTTCATCGAATTAGAGTACTATATCATCTTTATTGACTGTTAATTCTGAAAGAATTGGGAACATATCATACTGCTGGCTGTCTGACTCACCTGGGCTTCTCCAGTTTCTTATGGTGTGCAGGCTCCTAGCCAGGGTGCGCTTAGTTTGCTAGCAACCTTCTGGTTGCTTCTCACTATAAACCCACTAAGAACATTTTGTTTCTCTTTTCTTAGGTAACAGAAAGGACATATTCTCAAGTGCTCAGAAAGAACAAAAAACAAGAGAATTCATCATATAGTAACAATTAACTCATCAACAGAACAATGAGAAAACAGGGAAGAAAGGAGCTGAAACTAGAATGCATCTTAACTGTGCCAGGGAGAAGTACATGTGTAAGATAACAGTCCTTTGATAAACAGGAGAACAAGATAAAATTAATCAGTTATGAGAATCAACCATAATTCCTGTTGGATTTATATTCTGTACCTATAAAAAATAAAGTTTGTCGTTATAAAACCCAAATCTAACTCAAGGATGTGTCATTCATTTTCAAATTCTACTATTGTGACTATGAGTTACAAGTGATAAACCTCAACCTAGACAATGTTAATAAAAAGATGACTATAACAGAGACCTGTGATAGAAAAAAATCAATAAAATAATTCACAATGACCTTCTTCTGTATTCATAAGTTGTTGCCTACCCCAGTCATCATCAGAAAGGCTTCCCCAGGCTGCTGATGGAAGCAGATGAAGAGATCCACAGCCAACACTAGGTAAAGAAAGAGCCCAAATTAGAGATCTCCACTGGGCCCCTCATCTTGGAGCTTGGGGATCTCTGCAGAAGAGGGGGTGGAAGAACTGTAGATGCCAGAGGAGTTGGGGACACCAGAAGAACATGGAAGCCTGGCTCAGTGGGGTTCACAGAGACAGAGGTCAAGGCGACCAGAGAGCCTGCATGGGTTTGCACTGGCTCCTCTGCAAAAAATCAATGCTTGTTAGCTTGGTGTTCTGTGGGACTCCTCTAGCAGTGTGAGTGAGGATGTCTCAGAATCTTTCACCTGCCCCTGGGACCTTTTCCTTCCTACTGGGTTGCCTTGCCCAGGCCTGAGATGAGTGTTTGTGCCTAGTCTTGCTGTATCTTTTAATGCCATGTTTAGTAGATATGCCTGCTCTTTTCTGAAGGGAAACAGGAAGAGCGGATTTGGGGGAGAGGGGAGTTGGGAGGTGGGGAGGTTCTTGGTGTAGTGAATGGAATGGGAACTGTGGTTGGGATGTATTGTGTTAGAGAAGAACAAATAAAAAGAAAAAAGGAAAACAAAAACAAAAGAGAAATGATAACTAGTATACTGAATTTATTAAGCATTGCTGCCTAAGAAACCACGATGACATGTAGTAGTTTAAGTCAGAAGTTATTGGTACCTGAGTTGGACATTAGCTGTAGGTCTGTTGATTCTTCAAAGGCTCAACACAAAGCTCCTATTTAGACTGTGTCTAGAGTGACTGTGCCACTCTGTATAAATGTCTGTATTCTGAAGACAGTAGATTCTTAAGGAATTCTTTCCTTGAAGAATTACAGGGAACTACAGAGAAATGTTCAAGGCCTCTCAAATCCTAGGCTTACCACAAACAAAGTATTATTTCTGTTGATCTGCTATAGACAAAAGTAAGTCATATGGTGAAACCCAACCCAAGAGTTTAAAGATTCAATCCATTCTAAATGAGGTCAAACTGTATGTGAATGTAGGGTGTAGGAAAAGAGTTATCAATAGTTAATTTACATGTTTATTATGCCCACATATGCATGTTTGAACACGGATACATACAAACTAGATTATGTGTGCTCGTGTGAGTGTGTGATAGAGAGCGGGATTGTGCACTTCCTTTCTTATTCTTTATTTTCCTTTCAATGTCAAAGAAAATTTAGACTTAACTTACCTTCTCAGAGGGAAAAGTAATACATATATTTTCTTTGTGTCTTTTAGATCTGTACCCCATTTTTAATAAATACCACCCCCATCCCATCCCCCACCCACTCCCCAGGGAGGGTGAGGCCTTCCATGAGGGATCATAAAAATCTGTCAAGTCATTTGGGGCAAGGCCTAACCCTCCCCTGTGTATCTAGGCTAAGAGAGTATCCCTCCATGGTCAATGGGCTCCTGGAGTCCATTCCTGCACTAGGGATACATCCTGGTTCCACTGCCAGAGGCCCCATAGACTGAATGTCCAGTGCTCCTAGCAGACACCCACTTTTAGGGGGGCCTGGTTTGGTCCTATGTTGGTTTCCCAGCTGTCAGTCTGGGGTCCATGAGTTCCCACTTGCTCAAGTAATCTGTTTCTGTGCATTTTCCCAGCATGGTCTTGACTCCTTTGCTTGTCACTCCTCCCTCTCTGAAACTGGATTCCAGGCATTTGGCTCAGTGCTTAGCTGTGGATCTCTGCTTCTGCTTCTGTCAGCTATCGGATGAAGGCTCTAGGTAGTTATCATTCTCACTATAAAGGAAGGACATTTAAGGGAGCCTCTCCACTATTGCTTAGGGTCCTAGTTAGAGTCATCCTTGTGGATCTCTGTATAATTTCCTAGTGTTAGGTTTCTCTTTAAACCTACAGTGGCTCCCCCTGTTGATGTGTCTCTTTTCTTGCTCTCCTCTATTCCTCTCCCCACTCAATCTTCCTGATCCCTCACGTTCTCCTCCCCCCTCTTCTTCTCCCCTCTCTTTCGCCTCCCTCCATCCTCCATGCTACCAATTTGTTCAGGGACTCTTGTCCCCTTCTGCTTCACTGGGGGACCCTGTATGTCTCTCTTACTGTCCTCCTTGTTTCCTAGCTTCTCTAGAGGTGTGGATTGTAGGCTGTCAATACTTTGCTCTATGTCTAAAATCCATATATGAGTGAGTACATACCATGTTTGTCTTTCTGTGACTGGGTTACCTCACTCAGGATGGTTTCTTCTATTTCCATCCATTTGCCTGTGAATTTCAAGATTCCATTGTTTTTTTTTTTTTTCTGCTGAGTAGTACTCCATTGTGTAAATGTACCACATTTTCTCTATCCATTCTTCAGTTGAGGGGCATTTAGGTTGTTTCAAGGTTCTGGCTATTACAAATAATGCTGCTATGAACATCGTTGAACAAATGTCCTTGTATGAATGTATATCCTCAATAGCCACAAACAACATAAAATATCTTGGGATAACACTAACCAAGCAGGAGAAAGAGCTGTACGACAAGAACTTTGAGTCAGTAAAGAAAGAAATGAAAGAAGATACCAGAAAAATTGAAAGATCTCCCATGCTCTTGGGTAGGTAGGATGAACATAGTAAAAATGGCAATCTTACAAAAAGCAATCTACAGATTCAATGCAATCCCCATCAACATCCCAGCATAATTATTTCCAAACCTTGAAAGGACAATACACAACTTCATATGGAAAAACAAAAGACCCAGGATAGCCAAAACAACCTAAAGGAACTTCAGGAGGCATAACCATCCCTGACTTCAAGTTCTACTGTAGAGCTATAGTGATGAAAACAGCTTGTTATTGGCAAAAACAGACAGTTACACCAATGGAATTGAACTGAAGACCCTGATATTAACACACACACCTATGAACACCTGATTTTTGACAAAGAAGCTAAAACTATACAACAGAAAAAAAGCATCTTTAACAAGTGGTGCTGGCATAACTGGATGCTGGCATGTAGAAGACTACATATAGATTCATATCTATTGCCATGCACAAAACTTAAGTCCAAATGAATAAAAGACCTCAACATAAATCCAGCCACACTGACCTCTTAGAAGAGAAAGTGGGAGGTACCCTTGAACAAATTGGCACAGGAGACCACTTCTTGAATGTCACACCAGTAACACAGACACTGAGATTGATGATTAATAAATGGATCTCCTGAAACTGAGAAGCTTCTGTAAGGCAAAGGACACAGTCAACAAGACAAAACGGCAGCCCACAGAATGGGAAAAGATATTCACCAACCTCACATCTGACAGAGGGATGATTTCCAAAATATACAAAGAAATCTAGAAGCTAGTCACATAAACACCAAATAATCCAACTAAAAGGTGGGGTACAGAACTAAACAGAATTCTCAATAGAGGAATCTAAAATGGCTGAAAGACACTTAAGACATTGCTTAACATCCTTAGCTATCATGGAAATGAAAATCAAAACAACTCTGAAATATCATGTTACACCCATCAAAAACACCAATGACAGTTTAACTGGAAAAAATGCAGAGAAAGGGGAACACTCCTCCATTGGTGGTGGGAGTGCAAACTTGTACAGCCACTTTGAAAATCAGTATGGTGGTTTCTTTGGAAAATGGGAACCAGTCTACCTCAAGATCCCGCAATATACATTTTTTGTTGTTGCAGAATATTATTTTAAGCTGTCACATTCATTTAGTCTGTGGAATATTTATTTAAATTTGCAAAGATATATTGAATTCTTTTATGCTACAATTGTTTAACTTTGTGAACCAAAAGCACCTGGTTGGTCTAATAAAGAGCTGGATAGTCAATAGCTAGGCAGGAGAGGAATGGTAATACTTCCAGGAAGAGAAAATAAACAGAAGGAAAACAATGTAAATAGGAGGAGTGGAGATGGATGATAGGGGCCGGTCATCAAGCCACACAGCCAGATACCTGAGTAAGTAAATAAAGAATATAAAATAGAGAAAGCAAAAAGCCCAGAGGAAAAAGCTAGACAGGGTAACGTAAGTTAAGAAAAGCTGACTAGAAATAAGCCAATCTAAGGTTGGGCATTTATAAATAAGAAAAAGTCTCCGTGTACTTATTTGGGAGCTGTGGGGCAGATCCTCAAAGAGCAAAGAGTAAAAACCAAACCAAACCATTTTCTATACTTTCTAAAAGGTATCTTATATACTCTCATTCTAATAGGCTCTAATAAGGTAAGACTTATGCTCAATCATTATCAAAATTAAGTTAGTTCATTATACTGCACAAGTAATTCCCTCATCAGCAAAGAGAGCCAATGGAGAAAGGGATGCTGGGATTTAATTCACTCATGGTTGAGGGAAAATTTGGAGTGATGTCATAGCTGACATCCAATAGATAGTACAGAATGTATACACTGTCTGTGTGCATATTTGCTGTATTTTTCCAGACACTGGTAGTAAGAAGGAAGTTGTTCTCAGCTCACTTTCTCCTTATACACTCTAGTATGCCATCACAGAAAATGGGCAGGTCTTCCCACCTCAATTAACCTAACTAAGATATCCCTCACAGGCATGCCCAGAGGCACAGTTATCATGTGACTCTAAAGTTTATCAAGGATGGTTGCGGCTCACCATTACTATGCCTTTTAGAGAACAGCAGTTAAATTAAAGACTGGAATAGGTGTTCTTCAAGGTCATAGTTAAGTCTTCCTGTGAGAAATTCCAGGAAGTTTCTACTGTACTAGGTTTCCACACCAACCCTCAAATGTCCCCCAATTCCAGTTGTTTCCCCTACACTACCCCCAAACAAGTCCATATTTCCTCCACCAAATCC